ACTAGAAGTGGAGTCTCTTGGCAGCTTGAGCTTCATGATGTGTACATCAAAGCCGAGTGTCTGTCGGATGCATCATCATACATACCCTCCTCCCTCATGGCATTGATGGTCTGATGAACACTGGAGAGCTCCTGGCTGCGATTTTTGCTAGGCAGTTGGCTCTCACGGAAGAGACACATTTCATGAATTCACAACGAGGATCTTCGCAATTACAATTACATCGTCTCTGTTTTTTCACAGCCCTGACTTGGAATGAAGATAAAGACCATAAGAAAGGGTCAGCACTTCTGCTTCTGGCTTGTCAGGGGCCGCTCGCGCACTCTTCCATAGCCGTTCAGCCTCGGCCAGCTTCTTGGTGGTCTCGGCAGTCTGAACTCGGATTGCCCTGGGTTGGGGAAGGAGGATGAAGCAGAATCACTCTGTCTTGAAGTCTAGAGTTGGAGTTTGGGGCTCAATGTTAAGGCTTGTCATGGGCTGCTTGATCTCTGTCTGTCCGGTTCACCGGCCCTGAAGTAGCCCTGCATCCCAGCCCACGTGTTGGGGCCTACAGACGGGTACCAGACTATAGATTCAAGGTGCGACTTTATCATCCGCAGCAACTCCTTGGTGTCACGGACCGTGGCTGTGTTCGAGCCGCGGCCGTTCCTGCGCTTGGGGATCGCTTGTTGACTAGTGAGTTGCATGCGCGTGCATTCCCAAGTTGAATGGGGAGGATGCCTGAGTGGCATTCACCGAAACAAGCCTGAAGTCACTGTGGCTACTCCCTGCTGCCTCCGAGTGCAACATGAAACTCAAAATCTTGGCAAGACCTGCAAATCCTGCCCAATTCCGATCCTCATGATCATCGAAACGAATGCGGAATGGTTGAAGCCTAGTATGACCGCCGCAGGCTCGAAGCGACCTTCTTCCTAGAAGCGAAACTTTCACAAGGAATAGGTCAGGCAAGTCACAGCATGAGCTCGACCATCTTCCTGAGGGTTCAGCACTCGGTCCGTTTCACAACCATGGGAGGAGATGATCCCATGAATGCGGGGATGATCCGGGGCGCACAGGGAGCCATCGTGCATTTGCAGGTTTCCAGGTCCAGAGAGTCCAGAGTCCTGCTGCTGTTTACTGACTGTTCACTGCCCACGCAGACTGTGTAAAATGAAGGCCGCACCGCCGCTCCTCGACTCCCAAAGCTAGCCACCGACATCCAGTCTTTGTACCGGTTTGCCATGCTCTTGTTGAACATGCCAGACGATACACATGTGCGCTCTCTGTTGTCTGCCTGCACTGCCTACACCCGACTTGCAAGAGGGCCGCTCGAAGGTCATCACGTCACCAGTGCGCTCCAAGTCTTCGTAGAACATCTCGAGCATGTCCTGATTCTTCGTTGCAGCTGCGACCAAGTTGTCGTGATATACATATGTATGTATAAATATATATATATATATATATATATATATATATGTATGCTCGCTACACGATCTAGCAGTGCGTCCTCGTCGTCGCATTCTAGTGCTTGCACAACTGAACCCGTGAAGCGACAAGACCTCCGATCCAGATATCCAGTCCAATCGCATCTTAGCAGCTGCGAGAACCACCACGTCGACTTTTACACTGGCCAAGATCCCAGTAACCTGCGTTGACTGGGAACAGCCAGAATGGCCGAAGTTTGTCGAGAGCAAAGTGTAACCACCCACAATGGGGATAGGCAGGGGTGGGCCATGGAGAGCATGCATTTGCGGGACTGGGGCTTCGGATCCTCGCAGCTTCCACGGCCGAGTCTCTTCAAGTGTTTCCTCTTTGCAAAGTTGCTGGGGCTTATACCGACTTCAGGGCAGGCCGCACGTGCACTGAAATTCGCGCAAAATTCTGTGCAGAGTGTGATCAAGAAAGATGCCTCGGGGTCAGTCAGGTAGTTCTGGAAGTCCTGGAACAAGAGATGTCCCCAAGGCAGCTAATTACACTCAGTTCCAAGCACTAAACTCATCAGCCTTGAACATACTGGCTTGCACACTGTAATGGATCCCAGAAGAGACAACTGAACCGTATAATTTAGTACAAGTATAATAATGGAACGACCAGTGCATACCCCTTGATGCATACATCGAAATTGCTTCGATTCGTCCCAGTGCACGGCACAGGCGAAAGCCTGTGCCTGCTTCAGCGGTGGTCCTGCTGAGAAATGGGCGCCTCGGGATTGTGCCCAAGCAGCTCCTGAGGCTGTCGATACTGCTGTCTGAATGCCATCTGCACCCCTGAACCCTAAACCATCTTAAACCCGACCCGACAAAGTGGACAGCAGACTGAAGCACGCGAGATGGGTTAAATATCTTCGGCCAGACATGCAATGTAAAATGGTCGTCAGGCATCAACTGTCGCTAAATGTGAGTGACGGCTTCACGTCGCAGCAGGGTCTGCGAGCAGCTTGTTAGAGGCCAAGTTCCTCTTGCAACTCTGGATCTGAGGGAAAGAGACACTTCAGTCTCATGCGCCGAGTAGCCATCTTGTTCCGGATGCTCCCTGCCACGTAGCTGACGACCAAGCCTTCCACAAGGCAGGTCGGCAGGTGCTCTTATCTTATCGCAAAATCCGCGCCACCTAGATTGAGGCTGGTGTTGAACACGTGAACGATTGAAAGACATCAGCTATCGACGCATTTAGGGGTTGTGAGCAAGGAGTCAAGGCCCTTCGCTGTCGCCGCCACTGATGTCCTCCGTCTACGTTGTTCGCCCAAAGCTACTCCGGCGGTAGTCACCGCAGTCTTAATCGCGAGCCTTAGCTTTGGCGAGGCGGTGTAGGAGATGCAACAATCCCCCAAACATCCTGGTGCCTTCGTTCAGTGATTCGGGGTACGAACTCCTTTAAATAAGGAGGCAGGAATTGCAGATTCTGGGCTCGATGTTTCGGATACTTAATAGGAGCTGTGGCTTCAATGCATCGAGCCTCAATTTTCCATACCCCCACGCACCCTGCTTCCCGACAACATCCAGGTGGAGCACCGTTTTGCTGCTTTCCCTGGTGCTCTGGGGCAGTTGTGAAGCATTGCCTTCAATCTGCGTGCCGCGAACGGCGCTACAGCTACCTTCCCTCTTGACTCAACAAGGGTCTCCGAAACCCAAACTTCACGAACATGTACTTCAGCAATCAGGCTATCTATCAACTCCGCACGCAAAAAATCACCTTTGTGCGAGCCTTCCTTCTGAGAGCTTGCGATGGCCCCGACTGCCTCCACCAAGCAGCCTCAGCGGATACGCATAGATTCTGCTTTTCAACTCTACGTGAAGTTTTTAGACTTCAGAGGGTGCGGACCTGTCTACGCTGGTCTGGTAGGCAGCTGCCCGTCTGGCTTCTGTAGCACATGCTAGTCAGGTGTTTGTGTGCTCGCCGGTCAGAGCTGCTGCTGTCAATGTGTCAAAGGCTATGGCGGCTATGGGTGGAACGCAGAGATCGAGAATGCCATGTGGACCTTCGCCGTCCTTGTCCCAGAACATACGAACACAGGGAAATGTGGACCATCACGACGCCGGTCTTAGACGTTCCAGACGATTGCGGCTCCGACTGCCACGGGACCGGCCCTACCTGCCTCTCGCTCAAACGCAGCTCAGCATTCACAGATCGACCTTCCATAAAAACCCGTCATATACCTGATACGCAAGAATACACAAGTAGACCTGCCCACATGCCAACTTTCAGAACTAAATGCATGCACAAAGACACAAGCCGGGAGTTTGACATGTTTATTCTTACGGAGCCTGCGGATTGCCGATTTGTACTGATTATCGGCCTTGATGCTTCGGGCTCAGGTGCAGCTTTAGCTCTGCATGAGTTTGCTGTTGCCATCAAACGGGCTTGATGTATGGTGAACTCCTACGAAATGGCAAGACTTTGTTCAAGGGTGGTGTGTATGTGCCCGCATGCTAAAGAGCCTCCACCTGTGGCCTGGCAACCCACAAGCATGTACATCACCGTCACTGCGACGAGGAGAATGTATGTCAGGCCCACGATGTACCTCTCGCGGAGCCGGCTCAGGACTTGTGTTCTGGGGGAAGCAAGACGTACTGCCCACAAAGTGTACATCACAATTTGGCATGCATATATGCATATACAGGTGTGTACATATACATATGTACTGAAGCATAGTTTTTAATTCACACATAATGTACACACAGGCACAAAGGACCAACAGTCAAGCAGTCAACGCAGTAATTGGCGAAGCATTCTAGGCTGATCTACATTAGGTGGACATAGATCGGCAAAGAGCCGGAAATGCAGAGCAACAATCGATGAAACAGATACAATATGTAACTGTCGGGGATTCAAGCAGATCGTGGCGCTCCTGCAAGAGGTGCATAGGATTCAGATCTGAAAGTGCTGGTGAAAAGCTTCGCAGCAGAACACGCTTGATTTCTGCTGCCGAGAGACAAGGTTTGTGTGCATGTTCCCATCTGGGAGTGGGGATGCGTTAGGGACATCTTATTGCAATCTGTATAGTCTCTCTATCTATTTACATATATACATACATATATATATATATATATATATATATATATACACACACCAGCGTTTACATATATATATATATATGTATATATATATATATATATATGCATGTGGTTACATGTATATAGTGCTGTTGATGCTGTTGCTGTTGTTGTTGTTGTTGCGATTACATTCCTATACTGTTTCATGTTGGTCGTTTTGGTATTAATAGGAGTATTGTTGCTACCGCTACTATTTCTACTTCCATGTCTATTGTTGCTGCTGTTGCTGACAATACTGCAATTCCTATTTTCCTTTATTATGAGTATTGAATTATTATTAAGTTGTATCGAAATGATTGAGAGATGACATTGTCTTGATGAATGTTGTGAGTACGATGGCTATCACTAACAAAGACTTGTTTGCATTTTGACACAGGTAGAGGTATATACATGTATATATGTGGAGAATGCATAACCACTTGTATACCCACCAGCTGTGGAAGGGCTATCCTTTGGTAAGAACATCCAACTTACCCCCCGATGTCTCCACTATGCACAGGGGTCAGCACGCCACTCCGGGTCACAAGAGCACGCCCGCTGAGCCCAACGTCTTCATGAAGGGAGCATAGTCTGCAAGAAGCCCATCCAGAAGGAGGGAGTTCCTGGCAAGAGTTGTTGCTTTCTGCGTGCGTTTTTCTAGAAGCTTGTTTCCCGAAGAAGCCTCAACACCTAACGAACCGCTACTGCCGGAAGGATGCCCGGTGGCAGCATCTGTGTTCAATTTCGGAATGACATCGATTCCGGAAATTGCTGCAAAGGCTCATGGCATCAGGAACCGAAGGGAAGAGCAAGATTCCAACCTCGCCGCTTGTTCGCTTGCACGGCAAAACAGCCACCCGCTCTTCTGTTGCTACATCTCCGGGATTGCATTGCAACGCCGGATCGCTCTCGAGTGGTCGTCGACTGCCCCCGTCTTAGGTATCGACACGATCACATTCACACACGACATCGACATAAGCTTTCTGGAACGACAATCAAACCTCTCTGCCCCCTTGACCCCAAGCGCAGGAAGAAGCCAGCGACAGCATCGCATTCGCGGGCCATCAACAACATTGTCTTTCAAGGGTATACACAGTTCAAGCCCCAACCAAAGGGCATGTTTACCAAACCTGCCTAGGTGTTGTGACGCTTCGGGGGCGTCAGCCCATAACGAAGGCTGGACCAAGACTCTGGCAATGTATATGTATGCACACGAATATCTGTAAGTATATATATATATATATCTGTACATATGGATGTATATACCTATGTATATATATATATACAGTAGTATACATATATATATATACACATGTTGCATGTGTATAATATGAATATGTATATTTATGTATACATATATATATATATATACACAATACAATTATCTATATGCAGATAACCTCAACTCCACAAGTAATAGGAGCCGACAGCCTGGGCTTCAGGTTTTCACGGAGCCATTCACACTAGTGTGGCCATATCAAGTCCGCAGGACAAGATCAGAGCAGATGTATGCACAATGCATGACGAGCAGCATCTGATCCGTCAGTGGCTTGTCGCAGTACCACAGCATAGACGTAAATAATAACCTCGTTGGCGAACATGCAAGGTCATCGCCCAGCACAAAGTCGCAAGCATTGTGCTGCAAGGAGTCAGTCAAATTACTCCCGCTGTTCATGAGAAACCTCGACCCATAGTAGCTGGTTTGCGTAAGGGTCGGGCTAGCCACACGAAGAAGAACACGAGCACAGAACGCGCCGCGAAACCCATGGCCTGCAGACAATTACAATTGCAATACTCAAGGAAGTGTTGGTAAGAAGAATGGCAGTAACGGACGGACAGTCGTAGCAGCACTGGCACTATCACTAGTCGTCGATGTGGTAGCTGTAACAGCGTCAGACGTGGTCAGCCGGCCCGAACATATAGAGCTTGATCTGACGTTCCCCGACCCTCTTGCCTGCGCAGCTCTCAGCTCAAAACGCTCTGTTCTGCTTCACAGCTCCCCGCATAGCATGTCGGCCTTCACAATGATGATAAGTTCGGGAACTGCCCGGATGAACCTGTTCTCGAAGACATTGTCTCAGGAAGCAACACGGGGTTTTCCGGTTCTAGGGCCTCCAGAAGTCCTGAGGTGCTCTGAACAGTCGGATCCTCACAGCAGGAACCAGTCCTTGAATAATGTTCTCACCAATCCCCGCAGTCTACGAGAAGGAAAAGGCCACAACATCAATAACAAACGCAGACAGTGTGATAAATGTGTCCAGGAGATGTTGCACATTAAGCTTACAGCAAGTCGGCACACCTAAACTCCAAGGCGGAGAGCCTAGGGCCTGGACCGGCTGAGCAGTTGTGGCACTGTGTCTGAGAGGGCTTTGCTCGTCTTTAGGCCGGCCTCGTCACTCGGGACAGGCGCAAGAGCTTCACCATTCCTGCAGGAGAGAGGAGAAGAGGAGAATATGGCCAGGCAGCCGTGTACATCTTATGCGGGTGTGTCTATGCGTACACAGTACACACATACACTACATACACATGCACTTACACAAACTTGTGCTAGAACATGAAACTTAATGTTAATCGTCGTTGCTTGGCGGCACCAGGCTCCATGTACTCATGCAGCCCTCACAAGGCAACTGAAGGCTTCTGCACATCTGAACGACGAGCCATGGCTCTCATCATTCGCAGGAAGGAAACATTCAGAACCTTGGTCATTCCAGAACTCATGAAAACAAAGGAGGATGAGGGAAGAGGGCTGCTTGTGGTCCATACCTAGTCTTAACTGTCTTAACTGCCCTTACTTGACTGAGCCTGCACGTGTTCGTTCATGCGACGCATGGTGGCAAAACTGGGACACAGCCATGTCGCCAGCGACGCAGCCTTCTCGAACACGATGCTCAATGCCACTACTCGCTCCGCTTGTGTTTAGCACTACCACAAGAAACGTTCCGCAACTAGTGCCGCATCCCCTTCTCAATAAGCCTCCTCCACATCTCCTCTGGTATCAGGTGGGGTAAGTCAAAACAGTCGAGGAACGTTGGCCCCATCACCCAGAATGGAAATCACGATCGGCACCAGCCAGGTCTCGGCGACCATGTTGGTTACCAGCCTCAGGCATGAAAGCTTGTGGCTTCTACGACAATGCGTCTTTGGGCGGTCAGGGGTTACCCTTATTAAAGCCTACATATCGCAGTAACCATGCTGTTGCCATGATGGTGGTAAGAACAGAAACGAATGTAGCAATGCCTGCAGCCATCGGAGTGCCCAGGATCGCAACAACGTTGTCCAACATACCGTAACATACTCATACCAATGATCGCCTTAATGATGACTTTAGCTGTTACTAGCTTTTCTTGTCAATACCATGGCTCCACTTGGCAGGCCGAGCGCTTCAAGCCTAGACTCCCAAACATGCGGCTTCCAGAGCTAAATGCTTCAGAGACGTTTCCACCTTACACTTTAGACTATGGGTGCACTGGGTATAGCAATTTTGGTAGAGGCAGGATGTTCCTCAAAATGAGAATAGTCAGTTCTCACGGTGCCAGACGGCGACTACGGCGACGATCTACTGCGACTGCTGCAACTGGCTACTGGTGCTGGTACTGCTACTGCTCCTGCCGCTGCTACGGCTATTGCTGCTGCTATACTACTACTCCGATCCTTACAGAGCTCGGGAGCAAACGAGATAACGACGCCTGAGCAGCATCTGAAGTTCGACCCTTCAAGTCGTTCCGAATGAATGACGAATGCGCCGGAAGCTAAAACCCGCCGCACAACAATCTTCAACTTGCGCGCCACGAGGCAACAGATCAAAGAGGAACCACGGATCCAGGAAAGCTTGCCGCTTTCGCGCAAAAGCACCAAACCCTTGGAATGAACATTCTGGGAGGGGTGGCTAAACTGAAAGCTTGGCAGGCAAACATTGGCTTCAAGGCTTTATGTGGTGCAAATGTTGCTCCGGCTGCTTGGATTTGGAGTCACCTGGCGCGGCCACCCTCTATGGGCACAACACCGGCGGCATGCTAGCAGCCGAAAGTTATCGCAAGACAATGACACCGGGTCTCATTGCTAAAGCCGGACCAAAGCGCCTGCTACTAGTCTTCGAACAAATCAGGCCTAGGGGCGAATTGAGATCTCGAAGAAGAAGTAAGTGCAGAAGGTATGTTCGACCACTTGGAAAACCGTGTCCTGGGCACAGCCGAGCATGTGCCATGACGCTGCATTTCTAACAACAACTAACCAAAAGGGCAGACCAGCTGCCTGCGAGAAAATCGTCTCGCACTTCAATTACGAATTCTGAACCCAGTCTGTGCGATTGGTATCAGGGATGACTTCTTCGTAAACTGCAACAGCATCTGGCACAAACATGTAAAAATTGGAAGAAAGTAGAAGATTGCAGCTCCACAGCTGGGGCAAGCTTTGCATCCGATTAAATACAGCAGCTTTTGACAATTACATCCTGGTTTGGACTTCAGAGGGAAACAAAAACCAGCATTGCAAGATCGACAGTGATCAGGCGCCCCGCATCCATGCGAATGGAGAGGGTTCTGGAACAGGTGAGAGGCTGCCTCCATTAGCAATATGCTTTCGTTGTAGTCGATGTCGATGGAAATCCAAATCGCGTTCCTGATTTCGGGGCATGGGTAGTCGGCTTTGTTTAGGTGTTGGGGCTACTGCCACCTACAAAGGATCTGTGGAAACACCTTCAATAAGGAGGCCTCAGCATGAACTTTAGATCCAGGGATCAACCCAACGATCGCGACTGTCACGTTGTCGAACCACAGGCTCCTTGCAATTCTTTGGCAGATGCCTGATGTGTGATAGTAGTCCAACCTCGTCTGCACCCATCTGCAAGGAGCCAGCATGCAGAAAATCCAACCCTTCCCAGATGCTTCTGAACTGCAAAGATGGACCCCTAGCCCTAGCTGCTCGCCACCTCGGTACATACAGCACATGCGGTCATGTCATGTACCTTTGAAGCACAAACGTCTCTGTGTGCGCCTTTGTCTGTGAGCAGACATACCTACAGCTGTTGTAGAAAACCGTATCATTGCACTCGCAGCTAGAGCCAAGAAGCACGTTGTATTGAGGCTTCAAAAGCGCCCGCCGCGCTTTCTCTTTGAATGCATCTTGGTCCTCTCCAGGTAATGGGAGGTCACAAGTAGCTCTGGTATCAGAACTACAGCATGTCCACTCTCGAACCACTTCTGCTTGGCCTCATCGCATAGCTGAGAGCACATGCTCCCTGCTCTGCAAGCTCAGGCAACTCCTGAACCATGGGCGCCTCCATTCAATCCACAATGCGTCACCATCAACGCCCCATCAACATGGACTGCAAGCACAGAGCCCCAGAACAGCACCCAGAAGACGCCAGAGCTTGCAATGGATACAAACGCCTGGAGGAAGCAGGTTGTGCAAGTACGATCGCAAGCCGCAAGCCCCACACCTCTCACACGAAGCCCTGCTACAATTTCGGCTGAGATCTGAACCCCGTATCTACAGAGTCTAAACCCCGTATCTACAGAGTCTTAATCCCAAACCCCGGAGCCGCTCAGGCCGTTAGATCAATGCCCCTCAGTCTGAACGGTCCTGGAGCCCACCCGGACGCGCAGGCACCAACGGTTTGTTGTTTTTCTTCGGCTCGATTGACGCTCGAGGCTTCTTGTGCCTTGAAGCTGCATTGGGACGCAGTGCTGCGGTGTGCAAGGGTACGTGCGACTTCAGTCTTGTTCCTTCAAAAGCGGATGGCTGTAGTCCTAACCTATGGCGTCTGACATCAGTGGCTGCCCGGTAAGAGGTGGCAGAATGGTATCTCTAGTTATTACACGACAAACGAAATGACATGACTATAGCCGCAACAACGAACATGATTTAAGTCGTATCAATAACAGGAGCGTTAGCAGCAAGACGAGCATTCCTGACCCCAACGGAAGAAATGGGATCTGCACCACACGAACACCAATGGCATGCAGAAACGGTTACATACACAAGCATTCGAGTCCAACAAGTTGAGAATGACAGAAAGGGAAGTGGCTGCCCACTTGAATGCTTCACAACACACGAAGCCGGCTCTTGTCTGCAATGCCACACTCCGTAGGTGCATCTCGCATTCGGCCCATGTTTAGGCATTGCCGTCCGTAGGCTTAAGAGCTGGCAGGTTTTGCGATTTCGGGTTCGAGGTTCTTGGTCTGGACTCAAATCCTCAGTCAGCTTTGGTTGCCATGTAGCTCGTTTGTAAACGTCATGTTCCTACCAAAACAAGCCAAAGCTCGAAGTCTTGTGGAAGTCAGTGTCCGTCTGACAGCCAGTGTCACGGTAGGAATCCTCTGTCTGAGAGGACATCTCTCGAACTCGCTTCAGCTTCTTCACCTCGGTTGCGGGATGCTCGCAAAATCAAACCATAAGACATCACCGATCTTCGCACACCGACTTGCACTCTGAACTATGTTATCGTGTGTGCGTGGCTGTGCGTGCGTGTATGCTTTGAACTGCAGATGCCTTGTTGGCCACATGAGCCCTGCTCATCAGATCTCCCATTGGACTTTCTGGAGCGTCGGAGGTTGGATCCTCATCACCCACATCCACCTAGGCTTGTCGGAAGAAAACATGTGCTGCCCCACCCTGGCATACTTGCTTCGATCTGGTCTACCGGTCCAACATGGCGCACGGTAACGTAAACCCTTGATTCACAAGCCCTTTGGTTCCAGTGCCGTCACTATAGCAGCCTCATTCTCATCGACCGCTTGAAGGAGACGACATCACGGGACAACCCTTCCAAACACGAAGACCAAGAACAAGTCGGATTCAAGCGCTTCCATCCGTATCAGAGAGCCGAAGGATCCACTTTGCGAAAAAGCACATCCAGTGCTTGTGGCACAACTGACTCCAGGATGGAATTAAACCAGAAACTATCCCCTTCCGGTCCCTCACAACTGTACGAAAACCAAGGGAAACACATGGACACGCCAAGGACTCGTGGCGGGGCTCTCGGGTCCCAGCCTCCAAAGGCTCCTCGAAAGCAACGGCTTTTCGGGCCGCGCGCACATGCTCGACGGAATCCTGCAGAAGACTTCTTGAAGGGGGATTTTCATGACTAGACCAAGAGCCACTTAAGATAAAGTCCCTGCAACTCATGAGCTACACAAAGCTCGGAGCTGAGAGCAGAGGGCAATGTCACACATCGTTTGCTGCCAGATGCGTCATGGTTCAGCAGTCGAAATTTGTTCTTCGGAGCCTCCAATATCCCGAAGAACATCCCGAATCTTCATTCAGACGCTACCCCAAACCTTTAACCCTGAACCCTTCGCCAACTGGGCCTCGGATTCCAGCATCGACCGCGGTGTAGCTTCACATGCCAACGGCAAATAGTCCAAATTCAGGTGCTGCCTGCGCAGAGGGCTTCTTAAGAAGCATAACGAGGCTCGTCTGACTCGGTAGCGGGTGTGCTGGAACAGAGGTTTCAGGTGTCCGGAGGATGAGTCCTTTCATGGCCAGGACTGCTCTTGGAGCCGGGCGGCTGAATCTTACCGATCTCCTTCATCAGCACCTGCATGTCTTCCTGCATAGAGCCCACACTCGGAACCGATCGCTTGCTATAGGCATGACGGCCTTCTGAAGACACTGAGCCCTCGAACGAATGGCACAAAGGCTTCATCCGGTCGATACCCACTAATGCGAACGAAAATCTCACTTGTGCAGCTTGCCAGCTTGTCCTGCCGCTTACTTTAGTGAAGCATGGCTGTTTGGCTGCTTCTAGCGATCTAGCACTGTATTTGGGGGATCCATTTCAGCACGTGTTGAAGGTTAACGGCATGCCAAATGTGGGTTTGCAACCAGCCACACACACTCACACAGAGGCACACGCACACACCAACACATACATGTAAACACACGCACATGTATGGATATATATATATATATATATATATATATATACATCTCGCTTTTCTCGCTTTTCGGGCGTAGTGATCCGATGTGCGGTCGCAGCCCTTTTAGGTTGCAGTTAATTAAGAAAAAGGTGAAACGGGTGGGTGGACGGAAACTGTTGCCTGCAAAGCACTCGAAACTGTCCAGAGGTCGAGGACTGCACTCCGGGTAAGTCCAGGACAGAGCTGACACAGGGCGAGGAAGCATCATGGAGTGCGGCAGCAGCCAGCACCCCGTGATGAAGCAGGCGAACAAAGAACCGAAGTAGGTCCCCTTTCAGACTGGCCGAGGAGAGCTTGGCAGGAAATCCAGAAGCCGGAACATCCAACAAACCCTCGGACTCAAAGCCATGGAGTCCGTGCAGGAGCAAAAGGAAGCAAACATCGTGGAAGGGGCCGTCAAAGAATGAGGGCAGACACCCGGTGTTGGCTTGGGCAAGGCACTCCTCGTGAGAGAAGAAGACCAAATTGGAGCCGAAAACACGTTCTGCTTTGACTTCCCAATCGAGGGGGGCAACGACGCAGAAAGTGGAGTCGGGAGATGCCTCAGCAGCGGGAAGTCGAATCCCGGAAAGATCAAGAAGACTAAGAGAGACAATAGCATCCTGGAAGGTGCAAAGCTGTGGCACCCTGTTGGAGGGATCCGGGACAAGCCATTCCACAAGATCAGCCTGAAGGAGCCAGTCCACAAAAGGCTGGAGTCGGGCTCGAAGATGGGGATAGCAGTCACCAATGATGCGCTGCCATGAGACAACTGTAAGGTAGAGCCGCCCAGATGGCGCACAAACACAAGAGAAGGCAGTGTGTATGCGATCCCAAATGTCTGGCTCAGCCAAGCTGTCAAGCAGACCGTCGTGGTCCAGGCAGGAGAGACATTCAAGGATCTCTGCCACAGGCCGGTGTTTGTCTTCTTCGACATGCAAGGGCGTCAGGGACAGGATTGGTCCTGCGGCTTGAAGAGCTGGAGCTTGCGAGTGGCCAGCGTCATCTGCCCTACGGCTGCCAATTCCAGGCACAACCTCACATGAAATTCCTGCATGGAGAAGGCTGAGTCGGCAGCTGGGTGTAAAGCGGAGATGTCTGCAGAGCCGTACATTGGTGCTAAAATGGCGTAGGCATGCTTGGCACTGGGTCCCGGCAAGAATGCCACGTCCTTCCATGACGCGGTGATGCGTCTTGAAGGCGTGTACACTCCAGCCATTGTAGGTGGCAAAGACACGCTTGCAGGGTGCACAGCAGTGACGGCTGTCTGAAGCCGGGAGGGTGGCCCCGCAGAGAACGCCGCCAAGGGTGCGCAACTGACGAACCAGTAGGCCAGTGTTGTAGAGGTTAGCGGCGTCCCATGTAGAGACACGGACGTCAGCCGCCTGGGCGCGACGTAGGAGTGCTTTCCATCGACCAGGATGGTCTAACATCATTTGGTGCCAAAGTGGCCATTGGCTTTGCCAGGACTGTCCAGGTGAGCAAACTAAGTTTGCCAACCAAGCAAGGGAGGAGCGGACCTCTTGGAGCCACCTTCCATCCCAATGAAGGAGGGCCCATACCTCATCGATGCCCAAGCGTACACATGGAAGCAGCTGCCGGAGTCTAGCTACGTGGAGGAGTGTACAGACCGACGGAAGGCCTAGAAGGGCAAGGATCCGGGCAGGACCTTGATGGAGGGCCTCTTCAAAGGAAAAGCGAGGCCTCAGCATTTTGGCTGTCATGTTGGTGTGGGCTGAAGACAGGGCCCGCACAGTGGCCTTATCGACATTGATCCAAGTGCCCGCACCGTGGAGCATGGTGGACAGTACCAGAGACTCGTATAAGGTCGCTTTGTGCTGTGACGGAACCGCTGGCGACTGGAAGACCTTGGTCTTGTGCTTTTGGAATGCTTCATGTGCTAGACCAATGCGATGACGAGCTTCTCGGAGGGCCTTGCCTGTATGGTGCACGATGCCGCCGAGGTGGCGATATTGGGTAACCAGACGCACAGACACTGGGCCGATGTGGTCCGAGCAAAAGGAGATGCACGGTTCCTTGTCCCTGGAGACACTGGCGCGGACCTCGCGTGAGCCCGGGCCTGTCGGCACAAGCAGTACCTCTGTCTTCCCTCGCCCGAAGTTAGGAACGAGCCCTCGACTCAGGCAGCAATCAACGAGAGCCTTGGTTGCTGTGCGCGTGGCCGCTGTGAGCTCAGTGGAGCGTCGAACTTTAATCATAAGGGCAAGGTCATCCATCCAGGTGGAATCCATGATGGAAAGGGTGCCCGTTGCAGCAGTGCTGGGCGAATGGTCAAGGATGCACCCCTTCCAATCAGGGTGCCATGGGAGGTGTGTCAAAACACCATCCCGGTCGAGTTCCTGTTTCAAGTCCCGCAGGACACAGGCGAAGAGATATCCAAAAACGAGATCAGCACAGTTGTCGCCAGGGCGGCTCCCAACACCAGTCTGGACGACTGTTTCACTGCGTCTGAATCGGAACCAAGTACAGTCAAGGATTTCAGACAAAGACTGGGACACCCAAGGGGAAGCGCCAGCTGCACTCGGAAGCGACTCAGAAGAGAGGTGCCGATGCAGGACAGCTAAAACATCAGGTGCGAGGCGAAGCCTGGCCGCAACAGAGGCGAACTGCTCATCATTGAAGGCTGATCCTGTAAAGAGAGGACGGATGACTCGATAAAAGGCTTCGCGAAGGTCCAAGAAAACGAGAGCATAACTGGTGTGATGCTCCTGCGCCCCGCTTTGGAAGAGACGAATGGCATGCGAGGCCAAGGTCACAGGCATGCAGGGCAGCCCTCCAATTTGAAGGGGGGAGGAAACCCTGGCGAGAGAATCCGTGGCGCGTGCCCGTACAGCTCGATGGAGGGACTTCCCAACACAAGAGGAGACCAATATGCCTCTGTGAGCCTCTGGCTTGAGGGGAGACAACTTACCTTTCCAAACAGTCTGCAAGGATCCCCCCTTAAAGGCGAGACAATTTTAAGTGCTAGATGAGCCAGCCCTCTGGAGGCAGCGGCAGCGCCAAAGTGCAGGACGTCACCAGGAAGGTTGTCGACCCCAGCAGCTCGTCCCGGCTGGGTTGAGCGACAGGAAGCTTCCAGCTCCCACCTAGTGGGCAAGTCAAGCCGATCAATGAAGAGATCATCAAGATCCCTTTGGGCTTGTCGTTCGAGGCAGGTGCGGGCAAGTTCGACGGGTGGAACGACTCTGCCATCTTCAATACCGGCAAAGTGTTGTATCCAGATGGATTCTGCCTCTTCAGGATTAAAAGCAGGCTGACCGGTGGTATCATGGATCATGGGCAAGCCTTGCCTCCCTCTGCAACGACGTTTGGAGGGACCCAGGAGAGGCCGAAGAGCGGCAACTGTGCTGGAGGTGGAGGCCTGTGTAGCCGCCTCTGCGGCTTCCTGTATCCGCCGGCTTTGGTCATGTCGTACAGCTTGCCGTAGGAGGAGCTTCGTAGAACGCATGTCTGATGCGAGAACCTGGAGAGCAATGAAGGCGGAGGCAGCAGATAGGCAGGCGCTGAGCTGGCTGGCCAGAAAGCCCACGTTGTGGTTCCAAGTCCTGAAGGCCCCCTTCAGGGGAGCAGTAAGGATGCAAGTGCGTAAGCGGAGGATGCCTCGCCTCAGCCAGACCCTCCTTTGCCTGAGAAGCCAAGTGTCTACACTGAAGTGCGAGGCTCGGCAGCCACCGCGCTTAGCTGGGAAAGCCTTAAGCAGGGATTGCTGCAGGTGTTTCTCAACTAGGCTCCAATGCCTGTGCACATTCATATGCCAGGGCGGGGTAGGGACCGATTCCCAAATGGCAGAGAGCACGCGCTGCCCTTCCGGGGTCGCAAGAGCATCTCTATCAATGGAGCAAGACCGCAAATTGTTGGGACGCCCAACGCGAGCAAAGAAAGAAACATCCAGTCGCACAGCATAGTGATCGACATGGGCCTGTCCCCAATCAAGGTCGTGATGAACCTGGGATGCCCCGGGAGCAACTCCCCAAGCAAAAGGAACAGCAATGAAGTCGATGCGTGAGCTGTGGAGTCCATTGGGCGTAGTCCAAGTGGTGCTCGGGCCATGGTGACACTGACTAAAGGTGCTGGGCAACCAAAGGTCATGCGTGTCGAGTAAGGCAGCGAGACCGGAGGGAATAGTGTCAGGCCCCGGCCACACAAGATCGCCGACACTATGGTCCCGAGAAGCACAAAAGTGAACGTTGAAATCTCCGAAGAGAACAACAGAGCAGTTCTGACTGAGACGTGCGACTCTGGAGGCAAGAGTATTCCACCAGCTGTCGCGGTCCGGCGCAGTAGAGGTGGGCGCGTGGATCGCGACAAACAGGAGGTGAATGCCTCGTGTAGTAAGTCTCACTTGTGCAGCTTGCCAGCTTGTCCTGCCGCTTACTTTAGTGAAGCATGGCTGTTTGGCTGCTTCTAGCGATCTAGCACTGTATTTGGGGGATCCATTTCAGCACGTGTTGAAGGTTAACGGCATGCCAAATGTGGGTTTGCAACCAGCCACACACACTCACACAGAGGCACACGCACACACCAACACATACATGTAAACACACGCACATGTATGGATATATATATATATACATATATATATATATATATGTCATATGAAGGTATGTCTGCCTCTGTCTCCGCCTCTGTCCGTCTCTTCTGCCACACAGCCAAAGTGCAGCGAATGAACACTGCACACGCATGCTGGTCTGTCTCTGTCTCTGTCTGTCCGTGTGTCGGTCTGCCTGTTTGTCTGTCCGCACACAATGCATGTACGTTTGTCCAATGATTCGTTTGTATGCATCCTCCAGTCAGGCCATGCCCGAGCCCAGCAAAATGAGATTCAAGAGGCAGAGACATAGACATCGGACATTCACTCGTGCTACCTTGCAAGCCCCGCGGAGTTCAGGCCAAGGGTAACTCCAGGCCATGCTCTTGCTCCGAAGGGTCCTTCTCTTTGCTTTGACACCTCTTTTCCTTCTGCACGGGTATGTAGTCGGCAGACCCTTCTCTGAAGCCTGAGGTTTCGCAAGTCCACAACTTTTGCAAACAAGCGTTCGTCGCCGAGGTCGTTTTTGTGCTTTCATTGATGCTGCTGCGTGTGCCGTAGTGCTGAAGGCCCAAATCCCTCAAACACTCTGCCTGGGCACTGAAAACAGATGTGCAATTGCTGCCTCGATCATGAGATGCGCCCGCTGGATCTCTGCGATGACCACGGAGAAATCCTGGGCCCGACCCCGACCGTGCCCACTTTTTAGCTCTTTGTTTCCAGCAAGCCGCTACGAGAGAGGGAGAGGCCAGAATTGACCCTGGCGGCTGGGGGGTGACTGTCTAGCACGCATGCGGCTGCGAGTGCAATGTGCTGGCCCCAAACATGTCCTCACAGTAGTGCGGATCTACCATGAAAGCCACACAACTTCACGTCGCAGCTATGGTCGTCGTCGTCGACGTATCAAAAGACACCTGTTCCTTTAGATTCTGTTTGGATTTTGAAACGGATCAGAGCACCCGCAACTACATCGAGCCTTGAAACAATAAAAAAAATCGTCCAGTCCGGACCCGATGCAGCTGCCAAGGCTCCAGATCTTGAGGAGCAGATGCTGTTTGGAGCTCCTGAAGCATAAGCAACGATGACGACACAACCAGCCCGCGCACCTTCACCAACACCACCACAATATGATTACTTAGCCACAATGACGACCACCGCCGCAACCACCAAACAACGCAACGTATACCACTAGTTCGTTGCACCACCCCAACCACTACGAGTATACCACTACCCGGATCACGAGCACCAACACCACCACTTCCACCTACCACTGCGCCACTGCGACGACTGCTACGACTACGACTGCGACTGTGCCTACTTCGACTACGAATATCTGGCTACGACCTAGGACCCACACGCGACTACCTGCTGCGTGCTACCCCCTAATTACCTCCTCGCTGCTCGCTACTCTGGTGCTCCTCCTCCTCCTCCTCCTCTTCCTCCTGCTGTTGCTTGAATGCCTTACTGATTTGATGACAACGACTACTACTTCTGCTACTGTCGCTCTACGATAGTCGTCTACTACTACTACTACTACTACTACTACTACTACTACTACTACTACTACTACTACTACTACTACTACTACTCCTGCTACTACTACTACTACTACTACTACTACTGCTGCTACTGCTGCTACTACTGCTACTACTGCTACTACTGCTACTACTGCTACTACTGCTACTACTGCTACTACTGCTACTACTGCTACTACTGCTACTACTGCTACTACTGCTACTACTGCTACTACTGCTACTACTACTATACTGCTAGATTATACTACTATACTACTATGCCACTATGCCACTATGCTACTATGCTACTACTTATGCTGCTGCTGCTGCTGCTACTACGACTACTCCTGCTCCGACCACTCCTACTACTACTACTACTAGTCCTCCTCCTCCTCCGCCTCCTCCTCTTGCTGCTGCTATACTCCTACTCCGACTCCTATCCCCACCCCTACCACTTACACCCTAACACTAACGCTGATTAAGACTAACATGACAAAACTAACACCACTACACTATAATGCTAACGTTAACGCTATAAAGCCATAATGCAGCAATTGACGCCATAACGCTCTCACGCTGTAACGCTAAGACGCACACCACCAACACCACCATCACCACCCCCACGATCAACATGACCGCCACCAGCACCAGCACCAGCACCAGCACCAGCACCAGCACCAGCACCAGCACCAGCACCACCGCTAACACTGCTGTTATGGCTGCTACAATGACTGTAGCAGTAGCAGCGACGACGACAACTACAATTGCGGAAACAGAAACACTAGCAACCCTACGCATCAACAAGACACACCACCTAGAAACACACTAGTCAGCCTCGGTATTATCATTGCGATGCCAAGCGCACGGGACTCCGACTCGGCCGAGCCTGGAGGGTCATGGAAAGGTCCGGGCTGTTGAGCTGGATCTCCCGGATCTTCTGCATTAGATTCATGGTTTGCACCTCAAGAAACCGTCTTAGGGCTCCCGCATGCAGGCTTCAATGGAACCGGTGCAATTTTCTCAGACTGGAGGAGAAGGATGCGATGGAGTAACCTGCTCCCATCATGACCTGAGGCTTCCTAGCTTGCCTACAAGATGGGATAATGTTGTCTCTGGGCTTTCCGGGTTTCTGTGCACATGTCAGGCCTGTGACTATGCGACTTGCCATGCACCTCAAGGGCATGCTCATCATCTTCTCAGTGTGAAGTCAGACTGACTTAGACTATCCCCAGTGATTGAATTCCAAGCAAGCTGTTGCACATAACAGGTATCAATGCTCCTTTTGTTCCCCAATGCCTGTCGACCCTCTGCAGACTGACCCCGATACCTTGCTTCTTGCAGCTCTGCACATCCAGCATCTTCTGGACGTCGATTTTGCCCGCCAGGTGCTGCATGCAAAGGTCCATGTCGCTTTTCCTCAGCATCTTCTGCAACGGTTTAGCATACGTTTTCCATGCACATCTATAACGTACATGAACCGAAGCATCGATGTTGAGCCCTCTTGTCTACGCCTGAACTTCGGGCAGCAGCCGGAAGGGCTCCCATCACGAGAGGCTGGTAGACTACTCCGACAACATCTTACGTGTCATCGCGCCAACCGCACTTCCAAAACCTGCCTACCTCAGACCTCAGGCAGCTAAGGGTCTTCTGGATTTTGCTGATATGCTCCAGCATCCGAGACAGCTGCTCGTGGATCTGTATAATTTGCTCCTGTTTGGAAGAGAAACGAAAAGCAGGACTCGCTCTTATATCCCAGGAGTTCGACTCATGGGTTCTGTTTTCCGGTCAACAAAAGCATCGACAGCAAGGATGAAGGGAACCGATGACCGCAGCTACGGAGTGCCTGAAGACGTATGAAGTAGAACAACACATGTTAAATGTACCCATGTATGGGCTCTGTTGAGCTTGCGATTGGCCTACGGTCTACGGGTGCGTTCCTATGTGCTGAACATCAAGCACGGATGTCCCATCGTGCGATGCATCGGATGCAAACTTCCAATGTCTCTTGGTGACTGACATTGGCGAGAGAAAGCTGCTGAAGCGTCTCCTCGCGGCGCATCACAAGCTTGCGACTCGCCTCATTCTGATCGAAGCCGCGACTTTCGTGGGAGTGCGCCTGCGATCTTGACAAAGGGGGCTGCGAGCTTCTGCACTTAGAAGAGACCAGAGTCGATACGATAATCCACTTTCCAGTTTCGACGTGAAGATTAGAAACAAGCGGGCACTGCATGACAAGTCCGAAGCATCTGCTTCGATGCTAGCGGCAACGGTCTCATCGCTTTCAGCTGGGCAGCATGCACCAGTGGTCTTGAAGCTCCAGGCAATCAAGTGGTCGGACAATCGGAGTGCCACTGCTGTCGATAGATCAAACGGTCGAGGAGGTTCGGCCTGCTTCGTATGCTCACTGTTGGCCAGGCTCTGCACGCGCGTGTGCCTCAGACGTGACGTGGGAAGACGAAAAGAAGCGTTGGATGCTGTGTCGGTCCTCGCTTTGCTGTCTTTGTGGAGAGTAAGCAATTGTCCAGACTCGTGCAATCAAAGTGAAAATCGAAAGGCGACCAAAGGGCGATGCTGAACACACACGCTACCCGGACGAACGGCTACAATGCTAGCACGCCAGTCCTTGAACAAAGCCCGTTACTGTGGTACGAACCGGTCCCAGCAAAATGGCTGAATTTCCATCTGGAAGTTTGTTCAGCGCTGAGGTCTAAGGCGCAAGAAGTGCATCCCTGTCATTACTATCTCAATCAAGCGTGCTAATGAACACTTTGGAGTATAATACACCAGAAGTAAACCTGAAACTCGATGATGCAACTCTAAGCTCCGAAGATTAGTCCCGCTAAATCAGAAAAGCGGCAGCAGTTCCAACTTCGAAGACACATTGAGCTGGTTCGACTCCACCGCTTCAGCCACCTCCAGCCTTCTTGCGAGCTCTCGAGGACTCATGCTTCATGCTTCTGAACGCGTAGCTTCAGGAATCACTGCACTGGATTTACTTTGTGTGTAAGACAGGCCACAGGCCAAACCTCGCAAGGCCCGATTACTTTCATCGAGTGATTTCGTGCTTGGGTACTGCATCGGCCTTCTGATAGGATAAGCGAGAAATAAAAGATCGCTGAACAAGACTACGTAGATTGGAAAGGTTATACAGGTTAGATAGGTGCGAGAGTTTAGATAGATTGGATGGCTGAATTATCTTAGATGGATGTGCGTAACAGCTTAGAAATACTGGACAGCGGAGGCAGATTAGATAGCTTGGACAAAAAGGATAAGAGAGACCAGACCCTCTAAGTGGTGTTATGTGTGTGTGTACATATATATATATATGTATATGCAGAAACATAAACAAAGACCGACCCACAGACAGACGGAGAAAGGCGAGAGAGATAGATGGATCGACAGACGGATAGATGGAAAGGTGCATAATGGTATAGACAGGTAGATAGACAGGTAGATAGGCAGATAGATGTGTGAATAGGTAGATAGCCACACAGATAGACAGCCACACAGACAGACAGACATATAGGTCCATAGACGCAAAGTTACACAGACAGATACTTTCATAGGTAGACAGCAGGACAGACAGATGATAAACAGACAGGTAGATAGGTAGATGGATCGATCCATGGATAGATACATATTCAGACAGTTTGTAGACAGGTAGATAGATGGACAGACAGATACATAGATCGATAGACAGGCAGCTATGTAGATACGAGGATAGATAGATATATACACACACACACACACGAAGATAGGCAATCAGATGCATGAACAGATGGACAGCGAGACAGACAGACGGGCAGATAGGTAGACAAACGCATAGACAGACAGATAGTTAGGTAGACAGGTGGATTCATGGGTGGACAGATGGGTGGATGGAGAGGTAGCTCTATCGACGTAGACAGATAGATACATACGTGCAAATAGATTAACGAAAAGGGAGTAGATAGATAGACACACAGATAGATAGATAGAGATAGCCAGGCGGAAAGTCAGAAGGTTAAAGACATAGACACGAATCTAGTGGATAGACGGATAGAGAGATACATAGGTAGATAGATGCATAGATAGATCGGTAGACAGATACACACATATATAGGTAGGTAGATGGATGGATAGTTAGATACATAGACAGACAGATAGACACATAGACGCACAGATAGACAGGTACATAGTTAGACAGATAGAAACATTGATAGGTAGGTAGACAGACGGATAGGTGAACAGATGAATTGGTAGATAGATAGACAGGTAGACAGATAGATAGGTGGGAAGACACACAGACAGCTAGATAGCTCGATCGATAGGTCGATGGATCGATAGATAGATACAGGGATCGATAGATACATAGACAATCAGATAGCTAGATAGATAGGTAGGTGGATAGGTACAGAGGTAGATAATGAGGTAGATAGAGACATAGATACATAGCTAGATACACACATAGGTAGATAGATCGATGGATAGAACCAGACAGAAAATTCTGGGTAGGTAGATCAACTGGGAGAACCTAAGATAGGATAGGATAAGGCAAGCTACGAGGAGGTAAGACGGGATCGCATGAGATCGGATAGGATCGGGTAGGATAGGACAAGATGGGATAGACGAACAGACAGGTAGATACACATGGACGCGCGTAACACATGAACGCATATATATATATATATATACATACATACATACATACATACATACATATATATATATATATATACCTGGGCAATCCTTGGCGCCTAAAATTATTGCCGGCGCCGGGTAAAGGCGTCGCTGATCTTAAGTCTGCGGGTTTAGAGGCTTGTCGGCGGGATTGCATAAGTGGCGGCGGAAATGCTCTTTTCGGTATCTGCAGCATTTTGTCGCTTCAAGAAAGCGAGCCGTGGTCGTCATCGCCTCCCCCTCAGGCACGCCCACCTGCTCTTCTTGCAAGATGATGCTGTGAATTGTTGTCATGAGCTGGGACAGCTGGGAGCTTGATTTCACGAGAGGTCTTCAGGCTCGAGCTGTTGAAGAGTTTAGATTCCTTCATAAAGGAAGCCTCCGATATGGGCGATCAGCTTCCCGTGGCTATGGAAAGCTTCAAGCTGCTCCAAACGGCAGGACAACGATCTAAAGTTGAGCTTATTGTTCAATAAATCCGGGCTTCTGTTGGGGCTCTTGCAAGCACTCCACAATATGCCACTGGCATGGTTCCATGAGGTGCAGTGGACCCTGTGGCCGGATCGCAATGCCCATGTAACTGATTCGCACTATTTAGGATCACGACTGGGGTCTTGAAGACTCTGCAATTATGCCTGAAGATACCTAAGGACGTTTTGAGCCATGAGGAGATTGGAGTTTTGGTAGCCAACTACAAGCAGGGGGGATCGGTCAGGGAGCTCGCAAAGAAGTACTGGGAGGCATCAGAAGCTTTACGAATCTTCGCTTGCATTCTTTTGGGAAATGAAAATCGATTTCGGGTAACTTGAAGCTTCCGTGGTCACTTTCATACCTAGGACTGTCCGAGTTGCCGGAGACTCCCGAGAAGCTGAGCATGAAGGAGCAGCCTGGATCAGGATCTTCTGTGCAGTAGCAAGCATAGGAGGCGAGACCTGAGATCGCACAGCCGGCCGCAAAGAATCACGATGGCTTTGAAAGGGGAGCTGCTTACACATATCATGGGGGCCTATTTTTTTCATCGCTTGTTCCACTCACATCTGATTCCGCAGGCATTCAGCCGATTTTGGATTGGGCCGTCCTACACTGAGAATTCTGTGATATCTCTCTCGCTTTCCCTCCCTCGCCCTCTGGCCCAGGTCTTCATGGAGCTCTTCGCCCTGGCGGATTACATTCTGTTGGTGTTCCACAGGCTCGCACCAGACATGACTAAAATTTTAAAACCTCTTTTGGAGTCGTCGGGTGCCAGGCTTGGCTGAGGATCGATGGGTCGGTGGCCTATCGGTGCCCTAATTCTCGTTGCCGAAGCATGCTGACATCAATTCTATGGAGAGAGGTACTGAGTGGAAGGAGCCGGAGATTACCAGGAGGCTCGCACACTTTCTCAATCAGTTGGGATTCCCATTGATGTTGATTGGCAGGCTCTCGAGGGCTTCTTTCGCTGGAGCATTGGGTGCTACTGCCTTGTTTAAAGCTGGTCGTTATTCCCTGAGAAGTTCTTTTCGAAGGCATGCCACGAATTCCGGAGTGCAGCAGGCCAGATCGCTTCATGGTGACATCTGATCACATACTGACTGGTGCTACTGCTAGGTCGGACGAACCGTTGCCCCTCGAGTGCCCACCCTTCCGCTGCACTTTGTATCAGTGAGAATGTGCATGGTGTTTGGTGTTTGTGGGCTTACATACATGTGTCGTCCAGTGCAGCTTTCTGGCTTCATCCTGGCTAGCAAGTGACCAGCGAGGTCGCACCGCAGATTTCGCAGGATTTCAGTCATAGACTTTGGAGACATGTCTTGTGCATTTCGCTAGACCCTAGGATCTGTCAATAGAGCAGCTCCGGAACTTCGAAATGGCGGCACCGGATATGGCGGCTCCAGTCTTGGTCACCCCGAAGAAAAAAGGATCTAAGAGGGCGGCCCCAGATATCACAGGTTTGTGGGAGGCTTGGGAAGATCATCCTATCATTCGGAAAGGTGCTCGCAAGCGAAAGAGCCTTTTGGTTTGGCCCGACCCATCCAAGACCGGGCTCATTAACAAGGCAAGCCTCAAATGCAATTGGAGGGTGGTCTTGGCTTTGGTGCGAATCTACTGTCCTACAGTTGCTTCAGATGCTCCTAACAAGACCGCTCCCGTTGCTGCACTGAAGAAGCAGGTGGCTTAGGGCTTAGGGGTAAGTTTACTTTTTCTGCACTGTTACCTTAAGCACCCCTCAGCCCTAAACCTTATGCCCTAAACTTACCAAAGCACCCTAAACCTTGATTCTCCAGGTGGCAAGCTTCTTCAATGACATCAGCATCACGCCTCGGAGGGGCTTGGTGCATGGCGAATCTCACAGCCTGAAGATGTTTCTGAGCTACCTGAACAGACGAAACGACGGCGCACGCAGGAATGCTTCTGGTCTTCATCTCGTCTTCGGTATTTCAGGATCTGTGCAGTTTGGGTCTCTCCTGAGTGCGATGGTCTTTCTTGAAAACCATGAAGCTTCCATGCCAAGCCTCGTGATCCGAGGATAACAGCCTCTCTGCAATTTGGGACGAGCTGGAGAAGCATTGGGCCCCGAAGGTTCGTTCACGCAGGAACCTCCAGGTCTCAGGTGATGGTGAGAACGATGATGATGAGTGCGAGGACCAGGAAATGGAGGATCAGGAAGAGGAGGAGGACGAGGAGGATGCATGTGAGGAAGAGGCAACCTTAACCGAGCCCGAGGATGATGATGATCGTTTCGAAAAGGTTGACCCCTACCTAGCCGAAGCCATGGGTTTGGAGGCCGGGTCACCTCCTCCACCCTCGGCCTATGTGGGCACGATTGCATATGAGTTGAATGATGAAGCAGGGCTCCCGATCCCCTACGATATCGCATCCCTGAAACCTCCGGCCGATGATGACTGCGAAGTTGATCTTGTGCGCCAACTTGCTGAGATCGAGCATCTTTGCTAAAGTACGATGGTGCAATATCTTGAGTATTCCAGTGTAATTTCTTGCACGCCATAAAGCTAAGCAGCCAAGGCAGCGAATCGCCCACCGACGGGCAGCTTTGAGTGGCCAGCAAACGGCCCAGAAGTGGAACGGAACCTCAGCAGGATAGTGGTTTCCCGCAATTATGAATCTAAAGCAACCACTTTCTTCAAAGCCATGCCACCCAGAACTTTAACTACACCGGAACCCCGAACTTCTCATCCCTAAGTAGAACCCAATGCCGTCTACATCAATGCCCGATTCATCACATCTCAGGTTCGGGACACATCGACAGCCAGAGGACAAGTCTTTGGGATCTTTTCGGGGAAAATGCTATGCCCGCCGAGCCCATTGAAATCCCGAACAAGCCAGAGGCCGCAGTACTTACAAGAAAGGGGGCTGCCAGCGACCTGTCTCTTCGTGAAGTGGCTCCCACTCCAGTGGCTACGCCTGCCCGTGCTAGTGCTGATTCGAAAGCCCCAGCAGTTGAGGCATTGGAGGCCCCAACAGTTGGGGCCTTGCTGGCCCCAGCAGTTGAGGCATTGGAAGCCCAAGCAGTTGAGGCATCGCAGGCCCAAGCAGTTGAGGCATCGCAGGGCCAAGCAGTTGAGGCATCGCAGGGCCAAGCAGTTGAGGCCATGGAGGTCCTAACAGTCACCCCAGAGAAAGAGCCAGCTCCGCTGGAGGATGCTTTGGAGGCCCCATCGTAGAAATCCCCGCATAGCCCAGACCTGAAATCTAAAGTAGAAATCCCCGCATAGCCCAGACCTGAAATCTAAAGGTAGCCAGCCGAGCTGCGACCTTGTGCAGGTGTCTTCTGCGAAAGGCAGCGACGATGCGACGAGTCCTGATCTTCTGGCATGCAAGGTGGGCAATCGTCTTCAGTGCTAGTCTTTTTCCCACTTGAAGGTTTAGTTTTCAAGAGGCATTCGAGGATAGGAAATTCTGAGTGGTACCACTGAGGTTAAAGTATTATACTCTAATATCATTAGAAGCTTGAGGCTATCACGATCCCAGATGTTCGGTCTCTGTGGGTGTGCTTTGTTTCAGCACGGGAATCAATTTAATCCTATCGGTCTCATGGGCTTTAGGGGTGGGGTCTCAAGTTTGTGTTTAGACGGGATCCAGGGGCTTTAGGCTTTTTCGTGTTATATGTACTAATAATTATAGTCTCTCTAGGGATACCAGGGGTTCGAATACGCATTGAAAGTCACCCGAAGCTTTGGGCTTTAGCATTGGGGTGGGATCACTTCATGTTTAAGTAGTCTATTAGGTTAGCTATTCGGGGGCCCGACTACCCGACCACACTCCTCAGGCAACGATCAACAGACACCAGCAGATGACTTTCAAGGAGACGGGGGAGCATGATGCACCAGACGAGGATCCCGAGGAGGACGATTTCCCGAAGAAAAAACCTGCTGCCAAGACCAAGCCTGCACCCAAGGCCAAAGGCAAGGCTGCTGCCAAGGGCAAGCCTGGCAGGCCGAAGGGGGCGAAGACCAAGAAGGACCAGGACGACGAAGACACGACCCCGCCGAAGAAGGGCAAGAACAAAACGCCGAAGCCGGACGAGGACGAAGACACGACCCCGCCGAAGAAGAAGGGCAAGAAGAAAACGCCGAAGCCGGAGGAGGACGAGGACGAAGACACGACCCCGCCGAAGAAGAAGGGCAAGAAGAAGACGCCGAAGCCGGAGGACGACGAGGACGAGGAAGACACGACCCCGCCGAAGAAGAAGGGCAAGAAGAACCACGCCGAGCCGGAGGAGGACGAGGACGAGGAAGACACGACCCCGCCGAAGAAGAAGAACAAGAAGACGCCGAAGGAGGACGACGAAGACAAAGACACGACCCTGCCGAAGAAGAAGGACAAGAAGACGCCGAAGGAGGACGACGAAGACAAAGACACGACCCCGCCGAAGACGAAGAAGGGCAAGAGGAAGGAAGCCGAGCCGGAGAATGACGAGGACGAGGAAGGCACGACCCCGCCAGAGAAGAAGGACAAGAAGCAGACCGCCAAGCCGCAGGAGGGGGACGACCTGCCAAAGAAGAGGAACACGTTCGCTTCGAGGAATCCAGGAAAGGGGGCAAGAACAGTGGCCGTTTGGACGGCCATCCGGGATGCCTTCGAGTCAGTCCTTCGCGAGAAGTTTCGCTTTCCCACGAAGATGGAGGATTGGTTGTTTCAACAATCGTAGGTCTTAGAATCCCATTTACAAACCGGTCATTGCTATATATATCCCGTTTACAAACCAGTCATTGCTATATCATGCTATCTTGGCAGGGCCTCTTCTGGACGGATTGCCGCCCGGTGCTGCTCGAGGTGAAGGAGGATGCTCAGCTGTTCCAGGCGGCTAAGAAGTTTGCCGCCAAGTGGTTGAAGATGGACAAAATCCAGGGTGCCGGATACAAGCCCATAACTCATAAGTTGTCCAACCTTTCCAAATCCACGGCAAATCCTGCAACCCTGTGTCCGGACCTTAAACTCTGATTTACTAGCCCTAAAGTCCTAATTCTTCAGACCCCAAGCCCTGAACCGTAATTACTCGCCAAAGACACTCATCCGAGGTATGCTGAAGTGAAGTGCAGCGATGATTGGCCAGCTTTTTGCGACTATCCTGAGTCCACGTATGGGGCTTGGGCCTCTATATGAGCCTTCTAGGTGCTGCTCGCTCTAGGAACCCGTGATGGTTGTCTGCTTTCCAGAGGCGAGTGTGAGCTCGTGTGTTACCACGGGTTACGGGATTCTGAACTGATGCTGCTTATGTCTGCAATCGTGAACCGCACAAATTGATAGCAGTTCTGTGGGTGCCACACACTGCCTCTTAGAGGAAGTATGACTCATGGCTGTGGCGATGCAGTGCAGATCTCTCGTGTCCGAAACAAGAAAGAAAAGAATGAGTCCTGATTGTACGCCGGAAGAGATTCTCGATCCCTCGCCTTCAGAAACCCCAAAATAAGAGCCGAGCCGCAGGTACTGTGATGCAGCATGCTTACCAGCAGCTCGGCTTGGAGGAGGATGGTGCCTCCGGCAGAGCTGCCACGCTTGGGGTCTGGGCCGGGGTTATGAGTTTAAGTCTACCAACTACGATCGCCCTGAACTCCGGATCCCAATCAGAATAATCTCGATCCCCTGTGTTGCTTCTACAGCCCAAAAGGTTTTGGTAGGATTCTATTCGTTGCTAGCTTTGTGTTTGGGATCTCCTAATAAGAGTTGTTTTCTTCTCTTCGTTATCAGGTATCGGGACTTTCTTGCTTATAGGGTTTTAGTCAGGTTTTGGTTTTATGAGGCCCGAGCTTTTCTATGGGGTTCCTGGGGTTCCCGCTAAGGCCATGCAGCTTTCAGTGGATCTAGAAGATGTGCTCTGATACTATATCCTCGAAAGACTATTATATGTATTCAATAGACTATTATATTGAATATAATAGTCTTTCGAGGATATAGTATCAGAGCAAAACTTGTATAATAATATGGTGCCACAAAGATAGCGACCCAGCAAACGATTATAGAACTGTCAAGTGTCATTATACTAGAACCGACAAATAGTGCCACAAGATCCTCAACCCGAAAACAACGATCCCATGGACCAATTCCAGCTCGCAAGTTTCTGTTTTAGAGAAGCATCCAAGCCACGATGGGGGTCACGGCGAGTGTAGGTTCATTGTCCTCAGATAGAGTTAGAAAGGACTTTGGGGTCCGAGCTCCCCTCTCACGCTTTCGGTCGCTTGCAGGAGTTTGCATTTCAGGATTTACCTTTAGTCCTCAGGCTTCAGCATAGGTATTCAGTGGTACCGGGCTTGTGTGGGTGCTGGAAGTTTCTGGGCTCAGGGCACTTCAGGTACAGGGGCTTTGAGGTTTCAGGTTTCAATTAAGGACGGGGCCCTATCTAAAATTGAAGTTTGCACTCGACAACAGCATCATCCTGTTCCTGTTTCTTGTAGAAAAGGAAGCCTTTTCTGCAAAGCCCCGAAGCCTAGTCCTATATCCTAGTCCAACCCCGATCCTACGAAGCCCGAGCCTGCATTCTGAACCGTAATTGCATCGTCTGGTAGGAGTCAAGACATTGAAGGTGTTTCGTTAGGAAAGGACACAGCGACAAAATCGCCAAGCCTCTGAAACCCTGAACTCCTAAGCCCTCCAGCCTATAATGATTAATATTATTATATAAAGCCTCTAAAACCCTAAGCCCCTACACTTCCCAGGCCACCATAGCCATAAAGTTTGCGACCCTCTGAAACCCTAAGCCCCTAAACCTCCCATCCCATAATCCTCCACAGCCCGAAGAAGCGCCTAAACCTCCCCCCGGAACACAAAACCGTGAGTGACGAGATCCAGTGGTCGTTCCGAGCTTGCAAATCGGGCTCTGAAGCCTTCACGAAGTGCTGGCAGTGCTGCCTCGTAGTTTTGAATGATGCCGAATTAGTAGCTTAAGTTCAAGACCTAGGTGAGGTCCACATAGTTAGCACTTTGCAGACTTTACAGGTATGCTCCTGTGTCATTCATATTATCTAGAGAAGCCGTAGGATACGATGGCTTCGTTTGATGGGAACCCAAGTCGGCAACCCTGTCGCACAGAGGGTTGTCCACGTTTTGCCTTCGACCACCATCCTTTCTGCTGTCGTGGCTGTCGGAAGAACAAGCGACATTCGAAGAAGTGCTCGAGATCGAACCCTGAAGCCGTTGCTATGGAGCCCGTGGGAGACTGCCCGAATTGTGGTCGTAAGGTTGTGGCTCCACATCTGCATTGCTGTTCGGTTTGTCGCCTTGTTCCTGGGCAGCACAAATCGACATGTCTCGCCAGGGCCGAAGTTGCAGGGCGAAAGTTCCTAGACGAGATGGACTGAAGCACAGTCGGCAGGGGTATGAAAAGCAGAGCCGAGACGAAGCTGCAGGGTTTAGAGTGAGGCTCAGGCACGGAGAGGCAGGGATAGATGGGAGGGAAAGGAGAGGCTGAGAAAGAGGAGAGCGAGAGAGAGAGAGAGAGAGAGAGAGAGAGAGAGAGAGAGAGAGAGAGAGAGAGAGAGAGAGAGAGAGAGAGAGAGAGAGAGAGAGAGAGAGAGAGAGAGAGAGAGAGAGAGAGAGAGAGAGAGAGAGAGAGACAGAGAGAGAGAGAGAGAGAGAGAGCGAGAGACAGTGGAGATTCGGTGTTGCTTCGGTTTCGACGAATTTTGAAGCTTTGGTCTCGGATTTGGGGGTTTACTTAGCTTTGGCTGGAATTTTCGGAGTTTTGCTGGCTTTGAAGGGGTTTTGGCATCAAGGGCTGCCGGCGGGAATGCCCGGGATTCCTGCGGGAATGCCCGGGATCGCGGCGGGAATGCCCGGGAGCCCCAACCCTCACCCCTAAGGAGCCCCAACCCTCACCCCTAAGGAGCCCCAACCCTCACCCCTAAGTCCCGACTCTAAGCCCTGAACCGCAATGCTGTCGCACGAAAGAAGTTTTGGGCTCTACAAGTCGGGCTCTCGGTGGCGAGAAAGGAAGCAATGGAGTGCGATCCAGAGCTTGAAGCCCTCGCTGCTAAGAAGCAGGCTTTGCTAGTGCCCTGGTGTGAATAGACTTGGTTTGTTACCTACCCTCACCCTAAAACCCGAACCCAAAAATCACATCACTTCGAGGCCAAGATGCAGGCCCGTGGCATCGAGGCCCCCGAGGAGCCGCTTTGCAGTAGCAGCCGGAACTCCTGCTGCCATGTTTAAGGCTTCCGGTCGTGATATTGCGGGATCAAACCATTGCATGTTTCTTTTTCACAGGAGAGGCCTCTTCGTGGCTACTCCTGGCATTCCTCCCAAACGGGGTCCCAGGTTGACTTGATGCCGGAGACCCAGCAGGAAGTGCCTGCCACCCAAAGGGAACTGGATACACAGTGTCCCACCTCGCCTGTCCCGACTCAATCCGAAAGTCTTTGCAGAGAGACACCCTCGAGCGAAAAGGCGAGCTCAAACCCCGAACCCACACAGCCCACGCCAGAGAAGAGTACGACTTCTGAGGGACCAGAGCAAAGTACGAGTTCCAACCCCGAACCTCGCGAAACCGGAACGATCCAAGACCAGTCCAAGCAGGCTCCGAAGCCAGACCCGAAAGCCCAGCCGCAGAAGCCAGACCCGAACACCCAGCCGCAGGAGCCAGACCCGAACACCCAGCCGCAGGAGCCAGACCCGAACACCCGGCCGCAGAAGCCAGACCCGAACACCCAGCCGCAGAAGCCAGACCCCAAAGCCCAGCTGCAGGATGCAGACCCGAAAGCCCAGCCTCGGAAGCCAGACCCGAAAGCCCAGCCGCACAAGCCAGACCCGAAAAGCCAGCCCCAAGAAAGAGCCGGAGGATGAAGAATACGAGGCCCCGGTGGAAGAGTTCCCACCCCCTCCCGCCATCAGCAAGGCCACCCTTATGAAGAGGCTGGCCCGCATATGTGCACCCAAAGAGGATGGGACCTACAAAGTGCCGCTGGAGATCATCCAGAGCCATAAGAATCTCGAGTCACGTGACGAAGTCTACCGTGCCTTTGAGAAGTGTGGCTGCGACCCCGTTTCGCCGCCACGCTTGCAAACGGTGTGAGTGCTTGGAGGGCTGGTGGGGCGAGGTGTTTGCTCGTGTGTGTGTGTGAGTCTTTGCTCTATGTGTGGTTTTGGAGCCAGGTGGTTTTCACGAGGAAAGTCAACCGCCGATACGAAGAGATCAACGAAAAAAGTGTGGACACGGAATTCGAGTTCCTCACAGAGCAGGAAATGGAAGAAAAGGGATGGAGCGAGTGCCTCGCTAAAGTATACTTAAGCAGAAAGCATGCTCTTTGCAGACTAGTTGTGCTGGTCTGCTGGTTCTTTCCTGAGGAAGAAGATCAAGGGTGCCAAGAGAAGCTGTGAGCGCCGGCCGGGGTACAAGAGGAGATGTGACAGTTGTCTTTTGTTTGCATGCATAGGAATGTCGTGCTAGTGATTCTGTTCCTGCTGCTAGTCTCTTGCACAGGAAATCCGAGTACTGCGACGAGTGGATGTACTGGGTTGCCGTGCGAGTGAAGGGATCCAACAAGTGCCCTGGTACAATGTATGCCCAGTTATGCCTACACTTCAGCAGCTACGGCCTAATCCTCAAAGCCTACCTTTGCCATCTACTTCAGGAAGACGAAACGGAACACCGTCACGGAGATCCTGGAGGGAGCCGACCAGGAGCCCATGGAGGATCCTGACGAAGCAATGAAAGACTTCCCTTTCGATCTTGAGGGAGATGGAGATAAGAAGAAGGGGGAAGGTACCGGGGTATGTCGATATCGGGCTATTATTCGTGGTGCTATTAGTGCCTTGTTCTTCAGGTTCCGAGGCCTTTGGAATGTCCGGAGAATGTTGCTTTCCTGCCTTCGTCTCGGTACTAAATGGTCTATTGTTTATACTGGGGTTCAAGAGGTCAGGGCTTGTGTTTGCGAATTTTGTGTAGGGTTCATGAGGGCTGGTGTCGGTTTACGAAACATCCCTGTGTAGTTGCTCGGAGGCTGTCGTGATCCCACTAGAGCCAATCGGGAGCCTGGCCAGGTTAGGGATTAAGGCCCTGGTTTAAGGTGTCAGATTCAGGATATATAAAGTATATGTATAATATATATATATATATATATATATAATCTGGAATCTGACACCTTAAACTTTGGCCTTAATCCCTAACCTACCTGTCTTATGTCTTTGGAAAGAAGTGTCGAGGCCCAGCATTCAGCAACATGTCTAAGTTGCCTAAACCTTAAACTCAAAATCCCGACCCCTCAAGCCTAAAGACTAGTTAAACTCCGAACACCACATTCGGAATCTCAATACGATGCCGATCTAGATCCCCAGTCCTAGATTCTATGGTGATTAGTCATCCCCAGCAATACACCCCGTAGTCATTCGACCAAACCTTAAACAGCCCGAAGGCCAGGACTCGAATCCTTGCCGAGCATCAGCAGACTTGTCGCTCTAGTACCCAAACCCATTAAACCTACGATATAATAAGCCTAGCTAAAAACCGCCCGACCCACGACCCACGCACGGTGATTTATGGTCGTCGACCCTTGGTCCTAGATCCCTACAAAAAGAATCCCTGGGACCTTCAACCCCTGGAAAGCTACAACCTAATCCCCCAACAACCCTAAACCCAAAGGCTCAGATTCGAGGCCCGAAATCCAAAGATATAGGATAACTCCACAACTCCACAAATGCTGCCCGGAGGTGATGAAGACAGCTCGGACAGCGACTCCAGCGACGATGGGGCAGAGGCTGCACGGATCCTCAAAAAGATCGCCTATCCGGAGATCCCCAAGAAACCGCAAGATGCCAGTATGCTGGTGACCGGTTGCCTCCAAAAGAGGGTGAACAAGCTCCAGGTTATCATGACGAGGTTGGACCCGGATGTTGGCAACCCACTCACCAAGGCCCAAATCAAGACCCTCACCTAAACAATTATTTGTAAGTGTGCTTTGGCCAAGTCAATGCACTATGTGCTTCTGATCCCAAGTAACTCAGAAACTAAGGTTTCGAGACAGCCTCCAGGCGATCATCGATGCAGTGATTGATTTGGAGGACCAAATCACGACTATCTACAGCCGTGGGATTGCTAGTGGCTTCACGAAGGAGAAGCTTGTCTTGAATTTCCTAGTCCAGTAGCTTCCCCGCTTTTGGATAGGATTGTGAGCTTCAAGCCCCTTCAGCCCTTGAATCCTGACAAGGGACCAGAAGTCGCTTCGCTCGCTCTTCCAAGCAGCGAAGACGAAGCACCTTGGCTTGGCATGGGTGCATTCCACAGATCTTGAACCCGACTATTTGTCCTGTGCCAAAGTGTAAGAATACCCAGGGCCGTGGAGGCAGAGATGATTTCTGAGCGATCGAAGAGCATCAAGTTTCTTGTCTCATCTGTACTGTGTTGTCAAGACTATGTGCTGCTAGCCGAGTGGTTTCTGTCGAACTCATCATCCGTGTATGTTCTGCACCCAGGTTGCCGACGGAGAAGCCCGAGCCGAAAGCAAAGGCCAAAGCGAAGCCGCATGCCAAAGTAAAGGCAACCGCAAAGAAAAAAGCCGAGGGTGATGATGAAGACGAAAAGCCGGCCAACAAACGAGCCAAGAAGTAGCCACGCTTCGTGAGTGGTAGCAGAGTTCGGCTCCGCATGCAGTGCCAAGGGCTACTACTCTATACTCTAGTCGTCATAATACTGTGGTCATACGAAAGCTCGCTGCTGGCACCGCTGAGCTGATTTAGATTCAACCAGTGTTTTGGACACTGGTCCTCGCTGGATCCTTGCTGGGTCGCCACTGTGGCGAGAGAAATGCCAAAGTGAGTGTGTGTGTGTGTGTGTAGGTAGATAGGTAGGTAGCTAGCTAGGTAGGTAGGTGGGCGATAGCTTGGAAGTCACAAGCAAAGTTGGTAGGAAGGCAAGGCAAGCAGTTCGGCAAGGCAGGGCAGGTATGGGTAAGTAGGGAAATAGGTAGATTCGTGGATTAGTTGGTGGATTAGTTTCTAGGTAAGATCTTGGGTTTGGACTTGACATGATTTGAGTTGTTATCTCTATTCTGGATTCGGGTTCAAAGATTTCAACCCTATCCTGGGAGCATTAACTTCTAGCGGCAACCCCGAACCCTCGCCCTAAACCCTTACTACTTTTTCTTAACCCAAACCATTGTGCGAAACGGCGAACCCTCGCCCTAAACCCTTACTACTATTCCCGAGACCATTGTGCGAAACGGCCTAAAGCGCCTGACTACTTAGAAAGCTCCAGCCTACAACTACATCTCGAGCAAAGCCCCTAGAATTAAAAGTTGGCAACCCTACCCAACCCTACCCAACCCTACCCTCGCATGCCAGGCTCCGATGAAGAGCCACTCGACTTCGGCCGAGTGGCTCAGTATGCCGAGATGCTAGGCGAGGGAGCCGCATCCTCGGATTGGGGATTAGGGACTTGCGGTTACCTTTAAGGCTTCAGGGTCTAAGGTTTATGGTGGGGGGATTAGGCAAGGATCAAGGATCATAGTCTAGGGGTAAGGTTTCAATATAGTTTTTGGGATTGAGGAACAGGGCTTTCTATCGTTTGTGGTAGAAGCCAGAAAGTTGGAATATTAGTACCCTCATGCCCCTAATGTAAAGCATTAGGGGATCCTAGCACTAATCCTCCTAAATCCATATTCCAACTTTCTGTCTTCTACTAATCGGCCTGTTGACCAAACACCCTTAAACCCTAGAGCCCCTGCTCTCGTAACATCCCCATGCCTGAAAACCCTTAAACCCTAGAGCCCCTGCTGTCGTAAAACCCCGATGCCTAGAAACCCTTAAACCCTAGAGCCCCTGCTCTCGTAAAACCCCGATGCCTAAAAACCCTTAAACCCTAGAGCCCCTGCTCTCATAACACCCCCCATGCCTAAAAACCCTTAAGCCCTAGAGCCCCTGCTCTCGAAACACCTCCATGCCTAAAAACCCTTAAGCCCTAGAGCCCCTGCTCTCGAAACACCTCCATGCCTAAAAACCCTTAGACCCTGGAGCCCCTACTCTCGCAACACACCCATTCCCAAAAACTCTTAAACCCTGGAGCCCAAGGTCTCGTAACAAGGGTACTGCATCGTGTCTTTGAAAATGCTCTCGATGTCCTCAGTCCCGGCTTACAACAGTATATTATTATGTTAAACTCCAAAACCAGGCACATCAGCTCCCGAAATCCACGCCGCAGTCCCGTTGTTAATCTTTTAGGGTTTGGGTTGGTATCTGGCAAGTAGAGCTTAGAATCTCAGGTTCAGAAGATCAGAACAGGAAACATGGAAACGAGTCGCCCCGAAGTTCCAAAGCCTTCATTCAGCATCAGGAATTCCGAAGTGCCCCCAAACCAAAGTGCAATCAGAAGCCCAGGCTCATTTCCGAGTCGATAGGGGTGTCTCTAAAGTTTACTAAAGTGTACACTTGGGAAGTCTTAAATACTATACTTTAAGGTTATGTTCTGATATCCTGAAGTCTATGTGGCATAGTTAAGCCCGCCCAAGAAAACCCAAAGACTATGCTTCTAATTTCTTGTGTCCCGCCCAAACCTAGTGTGCCGAGGCCTCTGCGAAGGACACCAAGCGGTGCATCAATCAGATGCTGCATCCGGAGCAGTCAGAAGAAAAAAGGCGGCGAGCACCGAACGAGGAACGAGATTGCCACGTTTTCTTTAAACGGTGGGGTACATCTTTGCCTGTGCCAATAACTGAGCATACTTACGAATTGGATGAGGGAGAGAAAGCTGATACTGCTTATATACGTGTCCACGATTGGCTGAGATACCTTATCAGTCGGCAGCCTTGCTTGATCGCTGGCGGCTTTGGAGACTCAGCTGGAAGCCTACTGGGCCATGTATAAACATTATCACGGCACCCATCCGGTGTTTGCTCGAGGCTTGGACCTTTCAAGTACAGTGCCGCTGATGGTCTACTCAGACGAAGGCAAAGGACCGAAACGAGGGAACTTCGTCGTGGTGGCCATCGAGTCGCCGATTGGCTTGGAGGAGCAAGAAGCAACGGCATGTAATTGCGAGGCCGAAGTGAAGAGGGCACCGCAGCAATATGTGCCACACGGAAACCCGGCCGTGTGCTCAGAGACGGAGGTCGCACTGAAGCAATCTACTACTTGCAAGGGCCACTCCTACCTCACAAGGCATGTGCTCTTCGGCCTCCCAGACTGGACATACAAGCATCATCCAGAAATTTTGGAGCAGATGATGCAGCGGGTCTCGGACGAGCTTTCGGAACTTTTTTCTGCAGGCTTGGAAGTTGAGGGCAAGACCTGGACGGTCGCCTTGGTGGGAGTCAAAGGCGACATGAAGCAGATCGCAGAGAAAATTGCCTATCTTACAAGGTATTATGCTCATCTTGGCCGGGTGAACTACATCGGTGTTTGTGCACATTGCCTGGCTGGCACACGAGCCGATGTTCCCTTTGATGAGCTACAGCACGAACCATCATGGGCTTCGACACTTCACCAGGTGCGGCCATGGACCTCCAGGCCCTCTCTGTGCAGTGTGCCGTTCGACTCGGCTGCACCTGAAAAGGTTCTGAAATACGACCCGTTTCATTGCTTTAAGCTTGGACTGGGCCGAGATATCTGTGGATCACTGGTCCTACTTGCCCGCCTTGGATATTATGATGATCCTGATGGCAGCGATGACAAGAATATCAAAAGCAGGCTGGTTCGCTGCCATCAGCATTTTAAGCTGTGGCGAATAACTGCAGGCAAAACGGCTGCACTACGATACTTTTCCACTGGGCTGTTTAACCTCAAGCGGCTGAACGACTACGCTTGGAGCAACACCAAGGGGAGCGACACGATGTTACTTTTGCAATACATCATCTTCTTCGTCTCCCTCCTTCTTCAAAGGCAAAACTTGCCTCAGATCCATGTCCGCCTCTTTCGCACTCTGAAAAAGACGATTGCAGAGGCTCAGCTGGCTTTCCAGATCATGTATCGCCACGGACTCTGGCTACGCCGAGTTTGCGCTCAGAATTTATATCTGAAGCTGATGGCGGTATTATCTGGCTACAAGAGCCTGGCTCAGCAATCTCTGGCAATGGGCCTGACGTTCTTCGCTTTGAAGCCCAAGTTCCATGCCCTGCACCACCTGGCTTTCGAAATCAGGCAGGGTTTGATGGGCTCTGGGCCGTTGATCGCCAACCCAATTGCATGGAACTGCGAGATGGGCGAGGATCTGATTGGACGCATTTGCAGCCTCTCACTCAAGGTTTCGATCAGAACGATCAACCGAAGAGTGCTGCAGCGTCATTTTTTGAAGAAGGCCGCCCTGATCCGGCGCCATCGTGCGAGCCGGCGGGCTGGAAAAGTCTAGAGCGGGCTATAACTATGCCATTCCGGAATTCTAGGGTTCAGGGTTTTCGGGTATAGGGTAAGCCAAAGGAGCACCATCAGGCCCCAAGCAGCTCAGCCGCATTGCAGTCGAAGCATGGGTTTGGAGTTAAAGCTGGGGTTCTAGGGGTTCCTCCTAAGACCTCTAATCCACAACCGGTGTCTCCAATGTCGCCAATCGCTAAATTCGTTGCAAGATCAAGAAACAGCTGTCTCGTGTAATTGTTCACACTGGTAATTTGAGCCCGAGTTCCTCAAGAAGGCGACTCACTTCAAAGACCTTAAACCCTTAAACTTTCCCCAACCCCTCGACTCGTCCTTTCGGATAGTCAGAGAACCCCATGACCAATTCAAGTCCCGAAAGCCCCAGAATCAACACTCAACCCTTGAATCCATCAAAGAGGCCCGACGTTTGCAAACCTCAAACCCCAACCCAACCAAACTCCTCTTTAACAAGCCTTTGAAGCCGGTTTTGGGTTCAGGGTATTTCGGGGCAGAAGTCTTGGCGGCAACTTTGGTTTTTCGTCGGCGGTTTTGATTATTGCCTGCGGGTTTGGTTTTTGGCGTCTAAATAAATTGCCTCTTGGCTTGGCGGCGGAAATAATAGCCGCACGGTTTTATAGGTATATATATATATATATACATATATATATACGCACAGGCCACGCCTGCTGCAAGTACAACCAAGCAAACGACATCGCATCAGTCGCACGAGAGTGTTCCCATCCACGGCACGAACTAACACGGTATCTCTGGGTAAAAACTGTAGTGCGCAATCATAGAAACGTGAATATTACGTAGACGATCGTCCATCTTGCATGCAAGCCTGATCTGCTCCGCAGTCGACTGCATCTCTGAACGGACGCTCAGAAGAATCTCCTGGCGGGGAATATCGGCTTCGATGCCTGTTCAAAGACTGAAGTGTGACGCAACTGGCAACTCTTTACGGTTTCTCTCCAATTGAGCACGTAAAAGCTAGACTCTAGACTCCTACTCTGCCCGATGCGACGAGAATTGGAGCTGAGGACTCCTCGCCGAGGATTCCCAGACCTTGCCGGCAGAACTCCAGGGCATCCGCAAACCTCGTGTATGCTGGGGGTGAAACATGTCTAGGCTGGAGGGTCCTAGGCCTGGGGAGCTGGGCTTCGGCAGCACTCGGCACCGACGGCTCACACGACCCCATGCCTGTACGACTAAGCAATACGCGCACCTGCGGCCCACCACCTCTCTGTTACTTCTTTCTGCATTCCTGTAGCCGTGCAATCATCTTCGAGAGATCTACGATTCTACACCGAAGACTCGAGATCGTGATGTTCCAGACTCCTACTTCCAAAGATGATTCCGCGAGCGTCTGACATCACCACGGGACGACAGCGCCGTCGCATGCGGATTGAGACATGATATTGACATCGGACTGATTATGCGGAACGGAAGCGCAGCTTCTTTGCCACGGTTGAACGCCTGAACTTTGTCGTTGCGCTTGCTCGGGGCCTCAGGCAGTGCCCGTGAAGGAGAACTGAGTTACATATTTTGGCATATTCATATGCCGTATGCCCCAACAAGCACATTGAAATGATAAGGCATCATGATACAACCCGTCAGATCAGAACTACCTGGATTCAATATACACACTTAAACTCCCATGCTGCTGCTGCCGCATACATTGGTAAACGTCGGCTGCACGTATACTTGTACATGGCCAGGCACCGACCGCTCGACGTACGACAATGACATTGACTCGCTGGGCGGCGGCATGGCGTCGAAGCGTTGGGATCGCGCACCCAACCCCAAGAAAGCGATGTCTCTCGATGTCCACCAGAAAGGACTGTAGCTATAGATACTATTATAGTCAATTACAGCTTAGTATGGTCTGGTCTAGACTATGCCGGGCCCCAGCTCCCAGAGTGCTCTGCCTGGGGAAGGAAAAAGGCCTCCGGAATTTCAGGGTCTGGGATATTTTTTTGGGTCTCCGCACATGCCTTGGTGCCTCATTTTTTTTGGTTGGACCACTCTTGGAAACTACGATGAGCACCTTGCTCATTCAGATATATGGCCTAGACACCATGAGATATGGCCTGGAGATAGCTATGCAGACCTCTGCTCTTGAGACCTCTGCGGGACGACCACGGGCCAACGAGAAGCTTCGGGGAAGCAAAGGTCAACAGGAGACACACATTCGCTGAGAAGTGAAGGCTGCATAGTGCACTGCATAGTGCTTCGCGTGCTCAAGACGTTGATACTAAAATTGCAACCAGCGACCAGACATGTGGCGCACAGCAGCATTTTGGGTGTGCTTCCATCTCACATTGAAGCCAAAATCTCGCGAGATCTGTTGGCCCTGTCGTGGGTGGCAGCAGCTGCGGCAATCGCTGCAGCGACTCAGCATTATGCACTCGTGGATGGCGCGACCTTGCAGCCATCCAACTGATACAAGCAGTGCGTCAGCTCAACGCAACGATGTTAGAATGACGAGAAATGAGGTGTTTATACGTTGGTCAGCTCTCCGAAGACTCCCCAACATCTGCATCTGCAAGTAAAGTGAAAGTACAGCATGGCATGAGCCGTCGGCAAAACCGAGGGCATCTACTTAGAGATCTTATCTGACAGGAAATGCATCAGTCTCTCGTTGGCCTGTCGGCGATGGACAACTTCTTGAAAGGCAGAGATTGCAAAAGCTGAAACGCGTCTACACATCGGTCATGCCCGGAAACTGGCAGCAGCCCCAGCCATCCGCAGTAGACGGAAACACTCGCGGACCTGCGACTAGTAGTAGCCGCCCATTTGTCCTGGTGGGCGCATCCCGAGTCCTGGCGATGTGTGAAAACTCCTCCGAGCATGCTCACCATTTAACCTCACAGAGGACGGAAGATCCGAATCTGATGGCTACTTGCTTGTACGTCTAACCTTGTTCCCATGGAATGTGTGACCGGGTGTACCCTCGAACGCGTCGCATACACAGGCAGAGAGACAACGAAAGACTCAGAGAGAGAGAGAGAGAGCGGGAGAGACAGAGCGAAAGAGAGAGAACAAGAAAAGGAAATGGATATAAAAAAAGTGACGCCCCAAGCTCGACCCCAAGAACACCCCGAAGCCTCAGAAATCCTTCGTCGAAACCCTTCGGATAGTCATTCAAGCAGCGCCGGGAAAACCTGTCATTATCGGGACTTCCCAAAGCGAGTCTAGCCGTCTCAATAAGGTCGGGCAAACATTGCTTCATGGGGGGGACTTGACACTCATCAGGCTACATATCACATTACTGCCCTGAAGCCTGGCTAAAGCTTCCAGAGGCGGAACTTATAACTTGCTGAACTGCACAGATCCATGGGCCCTCAACTCTTTGAATCTCAATCTCCAAATCCCCAGGTCCTCCAGGCTGCTGTCCAGGCATTAAGCCGCCTGTCGACTTGGGCATGTTCTGCATTCCCATACCTGAGCAAGGAAGGAAAAGGGTCTCGGGCTTTGGATGTCCGGTGTTTGCTGCGGGGAACCGAGCACGGAAGCACGTTTTGTTCGTGGAACCCTCGCCAGACTCCGGAATCAGCAACACCTTTGACTTTGCCATCCCTGCAACAGGTCTGACTGGAACCTTCGACGCCATGCATACCTTGAGGTCTGGAGCCGATTCCTCTTTGGAGGGAAATGAAGACGTGACACGTGACACATCGTAGCGATGGGAGAGGGCCTGCACTGTTCTAAGCCCTGGGCCACAGCCTCCACCCATGCCTTTGCCGCCCATCCTTGATTGGCCACGCTAGGTGAAGGAGGTGGGGGGCAGAAGGCACAGTCCAGAGCTCCAAACGACAAAAAGCAGTACCTTTTTGTGTTTTCATGTGAATGGAAAGGTTAGGCAGCCTCTCAAGATAATCTCGACCAATGTAGTGGGATGCTGTGCAAAACGACACGTCAATCCGAGGCCAGGACCCCATAGCTCCCATCGGTGGGCCCATGCCTTTGCCCATGCCAGGACCTCGCAAACTGAGCTTTGAGGTATAGCGCTGCTACAACTCCTGCTAAATCAACACCTATATAGCACACGATGAGTATCTTGCCCATACCTCTCGAGCGGCAGGGGACGAAAAGAGCCTAATCCGGGCTCTGCATTTGGTTTCTTTGGGCTCTCTGCGACAATCTCCTTGCAGAAGCCGTGCTTTGTCCTGTCTGCTCAATCTCCCAGCGCACGAGCTCGTTGACATTGTCGTGCAAAGGAAGCATGGCGCTTCGCTTCGCCTTGACAAGATCCCATGCCTCCCTCAAAGTCATTCTGCACAGGGCCATCATGAGGGCGACGACGACAGTCGGGCTACGATTCGAGCCGTTTGCGCAGTGCACCAAGGTCGCTACGCCCTGGGGAGCGTCCCGAACAAAGTCGATGGCCTTCGTAAAAGCCCTCGAAATCCCGGCATCGCCGCCAAAATCGGTGATGTCCAGTCTGCAGTACTGGATATCTGGATCATCCAGAAAGAAGCACGGCACATCGTCCGCCACATTCAAAACCCTCTGTACCGATTGTCTCTGCAGTTGCCCCCTGTTCGAGGCATCTGTCCCCGTCCCAAGCCAAATGACGGGATGCTCCTCCGTGATTTGCGAAGCCCAAATAGCCCCAGTCTCCATGTCGCGGCGGCGCTGGAGAGCAGCTTGCAGCTCCATCCCATCCCGAAGAGTCTTCTGAAGTGCACATCTAAACTGTCAGATTGGCGCCTCTGCGGCACTTGAGGCACAAGTTTGGTAGGAAAATCTAGGAGCCGCTCACGACCCCTTGTAACACTGTCTTTGTAAACAGGCATCACACACCTGAGCAACAGCATCACACGCATGCACAAACTAGGACAGGATGCTGCGATGAGGTGAAGCACAAGCCAAGCAATAAGTAAGAAATCCATAGCGAAATGAATGGAGGTGGATGACAAGCCGCCTCAAAGACTTGGGACTCGATGACGACCATGATAACTACTGTCATGGTGGCCGGTCTCCAGTATTGCCCTTGTACTTCTTACCATACCATAGGCCATAGGTTGTCCCGAGTAAAGCTTGGATTTCGCCAGTCCTGCGACAGCAAGTTTAAAGTTAGGGATTCTGTGCGCCCTGTACCTGCTTCAAGCACTCTTAAAGTCTTAAAGAGAAGACCTAGGAGACATGCCGGAACCAATCCAAGTCGGCTAAGACTGCTGTGCAGGGTTAGGAAGCATGTGAGCTGCCAAAGTCTCAGGCACCGGCCGGGGCCGCCCATTGGGCCAATGCCCTTGCCGCCCATCGGCCCCATGCCGGGTCCTAGGTTGGGCCGTTGGGTGGGGAGTGATACAGAGCAAGGAACAGCAGCCCTTGTAGTCGTGCTCGCAAATGCTGGTGGTGGTGATGATGGTCGTGGTTGGGCACTTGCTCTGGATCATTTCTACACCACAGAACGTCATACATCACCCAAGACTATCATAGTCACTTAGACTCAGACCGACTTGCAGTGGAGCCTCTAAGGCCCATGGCGCGTCCCCTCAAACCCCGAACTTCTCAAGCCATCGCAATAAGGGCCCCGCCCATGCCACCCATGCCGCCCATACCACCCATGCCCGGCCCTGGGCCGGCCATACCGCCGCCCATGCCCAAACCTAGGCTTTGTTGAGCTTGGACGGTGCAAGGTAAAGGCAGCCAGCAAACCGAAACTTGTGAGGAGTCGGGGTGGAGGTTGGGGTGTGGTGTCGTTCAAGGTCAAGACATCCAGGGTCCATAGTCCATGGCCAGCAAGCCAAAACTCGTGAGTTGGGGTGGAGGTTGGTGGTTCGGGAGCGAGGCTATGGAGTCAGGAGCTAGGAAGCCTCGAAGTAACGGGCGGCTGTCCTGTTCAACCGGACTTCAGCACAAGTGACTCATAGTTCACATGGGGTGCTTAAGGAATGTCGCAGATGCAGAGAAGCGCTGCTCAGCCAGCAGCCATGCTTGCACTGGTAGACATGCGAATGACATTTCGGGCTGGAGGGGCTTGGATCATTGAGGCACGGCAAGACGGCAGACAAGCCAATACATACTCTCCCGCAGACAGACAGTGGCCAAGGGACCTCCGCCCAAAGGTGGTCCCATACCTTTGCCACCCATGCCTGACAGGTTGATGTGCAAGTGGCGTCCATTCTGGTTGCAGAGGCTGTATGCATCCCTTTCTTGTCATGAAGAGGTTCGGCTTATCGTCGATTCAGCGTGTCACGAAACCGGATCAGGATTCAGTGCATCGTGAGATTTCCAACTCCCCCGACCCCAGCGCCTAAATTGAAAGACAGCTGTTGGGGAAAGCAGCAGCTAATCACAGGGGCTCACACAGAAATACCAGGCTCTATGACAGCTGTCGTGGGGATTCCACCGAACCTCACCAGACTGCCCAAGCCTGCGCCAGTCGAACTGATGTTTTACATCCCCTCGCAAGACCCAAACCCTCTTCAAACCGAGATTCCTGTCCTTAAAATCAAAGGCTAGGGCTTTAGGTTCATTGATAGGTTTCAGCCCAGGATCAACATTTCATGCCCGACGAAATCCCAACTGTAGCTGCTTGCCCCCCCCGGCCTCCGCCCAAGGGACCACCCTTGCCTCCCATGCCGCCGATTGGCTGCATGCCGCCCCTTGATGGCCCACGGGTGCGAAGTGTTCCAAGTCAAGAAGGGTGCTGATTTCCATGCATGCATGCATGCATGCATGCAGGTGAATGTAAATGTAAATGTATGTCCGTGTGTGACATGCATGCGTCTGTAGATGCGACTGTACATGTTTGTGTATGCGTGCTGTGTGCATGCGTGCTGTGTGCATGTGTGTGTGTGTGTGCATGCATGTATGCGTGTATGTGCATGTGCATGTGTGTGTGTGTGTGTGTATGTATGTATGTATGTATGTATGTATATATATATATATATGTGTGTGTGTGCCTGCGTACGCGTGTAAGTGTGCATGCATGCATGCATGCATGCATGGATGGATGGATGGATGGATGGATGGATTTAATGGGCGTATGCATGTCATGTTTGGGTTTATGTATGGTTAGGTATGGCTGGGTATGGTTATGTGCGCATGCATGGGTGTGCATGTATGTATGTTTGTGTGTAATGATGTATGTTTGCATGAATGCATGGATGCGTGGATGGATGGATGGATGGATGGATGGATGGATGGATGGATGGACGGATGGATGGATGGACGGACGGATGGATGGAGGGAGGGAGGGGTGGACGTGTGTAGGTATGTATGTATGTATGCAGATGCATGTATGCAGAGCTCCCACGTCGATTGCTTCCCGTACTTGCAATCGCCACAGATGAGGCCAGCACAAACCACCTCCGCCATAGCCGGGGCCGCCCATGGGGGTCTGCAAAGTAAAGACAGATAGGCTCATAGGTGTGCACAGATCTTTGAAGAACATGTGGATCCATACACGTCTTCAGGAGTTTTTCCTCAGGTGGGTACAGAAAAAGTAGACCAAGTCCTCTGGCCCATACAGAAGTGGCGTATTTCCGAGCCTGGTTGTCTTTGATCCAGCCCTGCACATGGGCCTGCCAAGAAATCACAGCAAAAGATTGCATCTAGCCTCATGGTACATGTCGACAACCAGCCACACCCCACCCGATACCCCGAGAATCGCGGTTTGCTCAAATCACTTTGTGTCAGGCGGGTCAACATCGCCGGCTTCAGTGCAACCGTTCAGGCCTTGGCTCGCTCGCGCGCAGCCGGGTCAGCGGCAGTGATGACAACTGCCTTGCCGCCACCTGCGAGTTGCAAATGTGGATGCACGCACTCATAAGCAACCCTACTCACATACGTTCATCACATGCAAGCCCATCTAAACGTTCTTGGATAGACTCAGCAGGTGCACCTGGCTGGACCACAGAGTCCATGTTAATCTGCGCCCCCGTGTCTGCAGCCATCTTTTTGATGGTCGCACCGGCGGGGCCTGCCAGGACACCGCAAGCGTAGCAGGGTCAAGAAGCGCTTTGAGAAAGGCTGTACGCACGGCATGTGGGCCGGAAAACCAGCACAAACGAAAAGTCCAAAAACAGCTCCTGCTGGCGGACATCACAGGGATAAATATTCTGCTTGGTCCAATGATGCACCCCATAAGCTGGCGGCAGATCTTCTATTTCGGTGAAGGTATCGCGGTTTACGACGAAAGCACGGAGTCCTGAAAAGGTCTGGCCCCATGGCTGTATAGTGAACTGTGAGGGGACCTCGCATGATAAATGATGGGCACTTGATAGATTGGCTGAGACTGTCGTGTGTATGCTCCACAGCCAGGACTGATGTCGTGTCATGGCTTCTGCAGATTTCTGCAGTCTTATCTAGCTTAGATCCTGCCTATGATCTTGCCCACCAAATGTCCGGGGACGATGATCGTCTTGTCGACCTGGGTTGTGACTGCGCGCTTACGAGACTCAGCATCTTCGGCTTTTGGAGCTCACCCTCCGATGCTGGGCTTCTCCGAAGCCCATGAAAAACACTGTTTCTTGCAGCCCTGAACACCCGAAGGTTCCAAAAGTGGAGCCGAGCTTGCCACATTGCTCTGGCCAGCTCCTGGAGCAACGCAGCCATGTCACGGAGACTGGAACAGACTGTCTGACCCGGCCGAGGTCTGATAGTGAGTTTGAGACTGAGGACACCCCTCCGACAGAACCGAACGACCGATGTAGCTGTGCCGGAATACGGAGTACAAAGCATTAGAACTAAAGGGCCCGTGCTCCATCCCCCTCGGGCAACAGACTGCGGTACATAGAAACAACGCAACAGTCGGCATCCACAAGAATCCTCAACAGAAGGAAGGGAGATAGAGAAAGCCCGCGCCCTTTCGTCCCCCCATGGAAGCTCGGACCTGGAGCTGCAGCATCCATCGTTACCAGCGTCTGAGGGCGGCAAAGGCACGCTGAAGTTTCAGCTAGTTCAGGGTTCTGAGGGGGGCCGAGGCCGACGGCAGATTCGGCCAAGAGCAGTGAAGTGAACACTTAATTAACACGGTATCACTAGCTTTTGCGAGCCAGCAGTGACGAGACGTTGATCTTGTATTGGCTGTCTGGGTTTCCAGGGCTTGTCTGCTGCAGTATGCGTCCTTAAGCGGATATATTCTTGTTACGCCCACACCTCGCCTGTCCGGCTCCAGATGGCTGGCCACCAGCCTGTCCAGACAAGAGTGACCAGCAAGGGATGAGTACTTTGCCTCTCTGTCTGTGTGTGTGTGTGTCGACTGCATCAGCCAGCTGATGTCATATCGAAGCCAATGGCTCCAAACATCCTTTCACATTCCCATGGTTGACCTCGGTAGTGGTAGTAGTAGTAGTAGTAGTAGTAGTAGTAGTAGTAGTAGTAGTAGTAAATTTGACATCATGGTTTGCGAGGAGCATCGCCTGGGAGAGGCCACAAAAATAAAAATCGACACCCGAGACTTTCAGATCACGTGTCACATCTCTTTGGCTCTAAGCATCGCAGTTTCAAGACAGCCGAGCACCAGAGGCCCTGCTGTGAGCCCTGGGCAGCTCGCGCCTTTCGTCTTTTAGCAAACTCTTCTTTTAAGGGTTAGTAGCATGCAACTGCTGCTAGCATGAAGCACCAGTTGTAGTAGCGGCGGCAGCAGGGGCAGATGGGGCAGTTCCCAGACATGAGGATTATGGGGAGATGGGCTAGACCCCCGCGCCCTTGGCCATCGTTAGGCACTATATAGATGGAAACAAGAATTGGGAACCTTCTGTGTCAATGAACCAAACCGTGGCAATTGAAACGCGAGCAGGCATGGCACATTTTGTAGAGTGAAGGTGCGTTTACTTCATGCACAGTGAACCATCCACGTTTGTGCATCGGTGACATTTAAGACTTACTGATCTACCTCGGGTCTCGTGCGTGCATGGTTCAATATGCGTGGAGCAGTCACTACGTACTGCGTACAGTACGTGCCGACTGCTGGCGGCATTCGCAGCCCACTTAGTCCGACAGCGCCTTGCAGTAGAGATGCAAGACACAATACTGCACTGCTGCTGGCTGGCTGGATTTCCGGCCAGCATGCAGTGGCAACCGCCCCGAACACGGAAGCATCTATTCGTGCTCTGGGAGCTTGTATTCATGAAGCCAATTGAACTCGTGCTCGGGGCACCCGGTGGTTGGTAGTCATTTCGCAACCATGCGTCGCGCAATGAGTGGGCAGAGTCGTATTTTCATTGCTAAATGCCCACGAGTACAGCATTGCCCGATCGAATCTCGTCGTTAGCCACTGAATTACCTCCACGATTCTTGGCGGGGAATCAACTCCATCCAAAATTTGCGCATCTACAACTACAGGATGTTGCTTGCGGCATAACTTCTGTAGCGAGATCACATATGAAAGGCCAATCTATACTCTGCCAATTCCCCAATGAAGGGCCAAACACAGAATCGGGGAGGCTCAGGCTGCCCCTGTTCAGGGCAGACCCGCAACGAAGCCCCGGCTTGGCTGGCACAAAAGCATGGGCCACCGTAATCGCAATGTGGTGATGTGTGACTCTGATGTGACCCAAGATACCGACTCGACATGTGCTGGATTAGCTTCACGAGCCTTCCATTTGGAAGGTCTCTGGACCTGAAAGCTTAGACACAAAGCCGTGCCAGTGCGCTCTGCATGCATGTAACGGCGAGCCACCAAAAATCACAATCACTGCCGAAACACGTGGTTTTGGTATATAAGTGGCGTGAGATCTGAATTTCTCAGACTGTACTCAGTGTTGAGCGAACCACGTGACAGCTGACTACTTTACGTGGACAGGATGGAAGCCACTCGCCAGGTAGTACTATCGAAGGTCAAACCCAGCTCGTGCGGAAGAGAACTTCTTTGTATCTTTGATATCTTCGACAGGTACCTGGGAGGGCTGCCAAGATCTGTAGGACCGCAGCAGCCCCACACCTCGGGTTCCCCGCATCTCACTTCCATCGGAGCCTGGGACAAGAAGGCAGACATCGAGTCAATTTCTTGCACAAGCAAATTGCTAAGGGGAGGACGGCTGGCGCTAGAAACAAATGCCAGAATCTGTCGACATGAGTATGATTCCCGTCGTTACAACGGTCCTGAATATACACGGCTTGCACGGCTTGGGTATCAGTGACTTCGGCGCGAATTGTTGAGAACGCCCTCTAGTTGTGTGTCTCGCGGAGCTGAGCACGCGGCATCAGCAGCTCTCTTCAGAGCCCTTGCTGGAGATGGGTGTCGAAGTCATCTGGGCATGCCACACGACATCACTTGATTTGAGAGATCCTTCTAATGCGGCTTCGGCATATGTCAAGCTGGCGGCACTTCTGCTTACAGTTGCTGTGTGCAAGGCGAAAAACGGTCTGTATTCCAAGCAAGCATGGCAGTCTTCAGACTGCAGGCGCGTTTATGCCTCATGCCATCATGTGATGGTGACCCGGCTCCAAAAAATAATGAGAACCTCTAATACCTAAAGGCTCCTTTCAGAAACTCTTGTACAGCAGAGAGACAGAGAGAGAGACAGAGACAGAGACAGGACAGAGAGACAGAGAGAGGACAGAGAGACAGAGAGACAGAGAGAGAGACAGAGAGAGAGACAGAGAGAGAGAGAGAGAGAGAGGAGGGAAGGGGAGGGGAGGGAGGGAGGGAGAGAGCCACAGACAGCGGGAAAGCCGCAGCGGGACCAAGACAGAGCGCAGAAAAAGGAAAGGGAAGGAAGGAAACCCTTGGCAGGCAGCTCCTGAGGGTCCCTGACCCCTGCCGCCCAATAAAACCACATGACAGCGGTGGCCAGGTGCTGAGAAGCGGCCCGGAGGCGAGACGTCAAGACCTGTAAGCTGGAGCTCCAAGTGGTACGCTCCTGGCATCTGACAGAAGAAAATCAACGCGCAGACTCTTCTGCACACCGGATTGAGTAAAGCACAAAATCGTTCCAATATTAGCAAACGCACGATCGAAGCGGTCGAGCAGAAGCACAGTCACCCCTTTCCGACTCCCAGTGTGCGACCATTGAGACTGAAGCTCCAAAGCAAAGCCTCGAAACCTCAGCCCAAGCCGCAGAAACTTGAGGATACTCGGTATTTCACACAAGCTGAGGCCCCAAATCCATTGAACCCCCGAGGTGCAACTCCAAATGCCGCCTGCTCTGGGGATGCAGAGATAGCATATCGAGACTCGGGCTGACGCGTGCCTCTGGAATATAGGATTTGAGGGCTGTTGCAAAGCGGGATTCTCTGTCAGATGCCCATATACTTGGTCCAATGCAAAAAAAATCTATAAGAGGGGATCTCAATTGAAACTTCCCTGCTTCACGCTGCAGGACATTTTGAAGGCCCGTGTCTGTCATCTTTCGAAAGCATGAATATTCAGGGGCTTCCAGAGCCAACATGGCTTTTCCGATGTTTGCAGGGGAATTGAACCTAATGCTGTTGCAAGGATTTGAGGCACGGAGAGCGATCTCAAAACATATGCTCCGTTCAGCACACAGAGTCGTGAACACGATCGATCGAGAGAAGGCCCTGAAAAAATTGCCAATGCTGCAGTGCACGAAGTCATGAAGATTCCTCCGCCGGACACGGCCCTACCGTACATTTCGAATGACTTCTGAGGGTCAGTTCAGGTGGCATAAGGCTCGGTTCGCCAACTTCAACCCTGCCCGCATCCCTTGTCGCCTTGGGAGTCGGTGACAGCTTCGAGATCTTCGCCCGAGTAAGATCCATGGCCGGCGTGGCCGGCTCCCTGGTGTGCACTGTCCAACTTCCCATCCCTTCCGTGTTCCTTGTTGGGACGTACACAACTGACGACAAAACCATCTGGGCAAGATGAAGACCGTGGTGCTTCTGGGATTTACAAGGAGGTGAAGGCTGCTTGGGTACACCTCGTCAGTCCATCCAGGTTCTAGGGCAGACTCGGGAGCATCTCGATGTACCAGAGCGATTAGAGGGATGTCTAGCAACCAGCCATGCTGGCAACTCTGCCGTCATGCGAATTATCTACGTAGAGTCATGAAGCAATAGTGTCGGGCTGAAAACAATCCAGGCGACCTCTGAATCTGTGCCACCCCAACCACGAACCTGCACAGGCCTGCAATCGAAAATCACTTCTCCAAACGCCCAAACCAAATGCAAGGCCTCGCTGAGATGGCGTGGCTCAGGGTCGATGTCCTGGCAGTGAAAGCAGCAAGAACACCGGATTGAGGCGGTCTGGACAACAAAAAGGGCATAGCCAATGCGCATCTATCTGCATAAGCATCTGCATGCATGCACGCACGCAGGCATGCGTGCACCCATGCGTGCATGGATGGGTAGGTAAATACGTTAGAAAAGGCAGGCAGGCAGGCAGGCAGGGAGTTAGGTCGGTCGGTGGGTCAGTGCCCAGGCACGTAGGTAGGTAGGTCGGTGAGTAGGCAGGCAGGTATGTAGGCAAGCATTTTGGTAGACAAGCTGCCTATAGTACCTGAATGAGTATGTAGCTAACTGCACATGCGCGCTGTGTGTATACGGTGGAATAGGTGCGCGTACAGATACACATACATACATACGTAAGTGATCGATGCATGTAAGTAACTATATATATATATATATATGTAAACCTATATCTATCTATAAGATATGCGAGTGTGTGTGTGTGTGTGTGCGCGTGTGAGATACAAACATGCATCCATCCATCCATCCCTCCGTCCGTCCGTCCGTACGTACATACGTGCATGCATGCAGGCATGCATAGGTACATACGTACATACATACGCATTAACATAGGTACATACGCATTTACATAGGTGCATGCCTAAACAAAAACCACCCACCCACCCACCCACCCACCCACCCACCCACCCACCCACCCCCCCGCCCGCCCGCCCGCCCGCTCGCCCGCCGGCCCACCCAACGATCAACCCACGTATACTACACTGACCGACCGAACGACGGACCTATACAGTGCATACATACATACATAAATACATAACTAATAACCTCATACATAACTACCTACCTACCTACATACATACATACATACGCACACACACACTTACAAGACTTACATGCCTGCACTCATACAAACGTACATACATACACACTTACTTGCATGCATGCATGCACATGCATACCTGATATGTACATGCTTGCATACACACATACATCACATCGGGTAGATGCACGTGTCCGTGCATAACTTGCCAGCCGAGTAGATTGCTATTCTTCCATGAAGTGGCCGTTACAACACGCTTTGATCACGACACCGGCAAGAGCACACGGACCACTCCAAGCAATAAAGTCCATGGCTGAAAATCGGCATGATGAATAACAGTTAAAACGCAGTTTGTGCGTCTTGGTGGTGTTAAGGGCCGGTGTAGAATTGAGGGATTCATCAGGCCGAAGGCACTGGCAGCTCCGGACGTGCAGGTGTCCGCTGGGAGGAAGACGGACCTCCTCGGGTGTACAGTAGACGGAGGGGCTCTCAGTATCTCGAGTAAGAGGGCTCGCTCGCTCTCTCTCTCTCTCTCTCTCTCTCTCTCTCTCTCTCTCTCTCTCTCTCTTGCTTGCAATCGGTCAAAGGCAGCACAAAGCACTGCCCCGCGCGCTCTCTCTCTCTCCCTCTCTCTTTTCCTCTTTCGTGCATAAAATGAGCTCGGTTAAGGCTCCAGGTCAATCATTCCGTTACAATGGCTTTCGCAAAGTGGAGGCTGTAGGCAGCAACCATTGCTGAGCATTTCTGACTTGGGCAAGGGCCTGGCATTGTCGTCACATCGTACGGGAATGGAGAGAAATCGCCGTGCTGCGCGAGGTTCCTGGCAATCTGACTCGGCCCCAGAACATATGGGTTCAAATTTGTTCGTAAGCTTCGCAGGTTAAGATCTCAAGACGGGTTTGACTTGAGAAGTGAGCTGTTCAATTCGAGCCGTGCATGACGAACAAGCGTGCTACATGTTATCTGATCTAATGCGGCACCGTCTAGGAGTTGCTTGCAGCCATTGCTTGCTTGCAGGGGCAGGCAGATAGCTAAAGGCCGAATACTTCGGTCTTTGTCCGTGCATGGAAATTTCTCTGTCGCGAGTGCAATGCTGTAGTCGAGATGTGGGATCTCGGTGATTCCGGCCTCCTCACGTCAAAGGAGCTGATGCTGCTGTCGCCTTCAATCAAGAATCGAAAGCTTGAAGGGGTCCACTATCGGTTGGCTCTGGCGCAGCTTCGCAAATATTGGGCGAGGAGAAACGACAAATACTGGTGGAACCTGCCGACATTCTGTATGGTTAAGCCCTGAAGCCCTGCTCACTGGAATCCTACCCCTCTGAAGCATGTATCACACATTCATACACTCGAAATCATGTAGAGTCATCGAAAAAGCGGATAGAACTGCTAGCATAACTTCAAGGCTCTAAGGCAGATGTAACAGCGCACAAACAAGGGTGCAAACCCGTGCCACGACAGTTTGCTTCCCTGCCGAGCAGCTGCCAAGACTCGGGCGATTGGAGCGCGGAACAACGGGCATCACCTGAGAGCCCTCCACACGCCAAGTCTGCTCAGCTCATGGGGTGAGATACAAGCTTGAAACAGAATGCTGGCCCCGATCCCTGTGCACGACTGCTCCAGGATGTTCCGGGATGCAAGGTTGGAGTCGCTGTAGCAGTGCAGCCGCGAAGTCCCAGCACAAGCATGTGATACAAACCATCGCAGGCCGATCAACAGATAATTCGACGACGCTTTCGTAACCTTCAGGCAGCCTCGTTAAAGGTCCATAGCGTTACAGCCGTGAAGCAAAACAGCTTTGACTGCGTTCTTGCTGGCTGTCCGGGGCCTACGGTTCAGGATGGTTCAGGCTGGCACTTGATTTCCCCCAAGCCCTCAGCTCGAAATCGTAATTCGACCATGCCCCGCCCCCAAGGGCTCCGGCCGGCATCGGTGTAGGAATTCTAGGGCCATGAAAGCGCGCCCCTTCATCTTCGGAGATCATCTCCAGGTTCCTGTGTCTCTGAATCCCACGAGGCCCGAAATACTCGCATACAATGCATGCTACAGTTGCAGTCAGTAGCTATAGAGGTCGTTGACATAGGCGTGGATTCAGTTCCATCTTCATTTTGTAACAAGTCTGTCTGAACTCGTCAGCCAACAAGGTTTGGGCTTGCAGCTGCAGGTGCGGGATGGGGCTGCTCGTCGGCGAGGGCGTTCTCTCAGCACGATGCGTCTCCTGCAGTCCCGGCACGTGCATGGGCAAGGTAGACTAGACGTTGTTCGGAGGCACATTGAGCTTTGTTCGCGACGTTTGAAGACGTGCCTTTATATAAATTTTTGCACACCCCTCATGTAAACACACATAAGCACAAGTTGACAAACCAGTGATCCTGGCTCACGTATTCATTATTCGTCAATCTGAACCTATCTGCTCTGTATAAGCAGAAAAGCGGGACGCGCTCAGAGAGGCATGCACATCAAATGTGAACAGGCCTCTGTTTCTCTATCGATGCCTCAGCACGAATATGCACGATATGTGTGTGTGGCGCCTGTACAGACATGCATGCACAAGTACAGGCGGAATACATGCCAACCTTCTTACTATTCCTCTGTTCATCCACAGATGCCTGGAGCTGTATAGTTGTGTATATGCACTGGACAAAAACGCAAGCATAAGTGCATGCCTGCATGGGAAGGTATGTCCGCGTGGGTATCCCTTGCAGTGCACTCATTTGCAATGTACCACAATACGAGCTATATTGTTCACCAGATGGGAAGAAGGACTGCGTAGAGATCCAGACACCTACAAACATCTCGAAAGCCAAGAGCGGAGAATCTCAGCCCAGTCGCAGCGCTCGCTGGTTCCGGAGGGTGCACGATGACTGTTGGCGACATAGGTCTGAGCAGCCGAGGTGATGCTGCGACCCCGATGCAAAGGCTCATCTTGAAGTCGCATATCAATAAATCACTAAGTATACAAGCAGGTTTGCGTGTGTATATACGTATGTGTGATAGATATGTGTATGCATATCTGTCTGTCTGTCTGTTTGTCTGTCTGTTTCTCTGCCTGTAGGTGTGTTGACAAAAGTTTCGTATATAAACACATGCAGTGGTGATAGATAGATGAAGATAATGCAGTTCAGCTGCGTTGACGAACGTGCACTTTGCTCATGTGCTACTTCCTCGTAGCATCTCAAGATGTTGTCTTGCCAAGTGCCGCCCGAAGCGCTCGCCAAACCCCAACGAACTTGCTAACCTGCATGCTCACTTTGAAGGTTCTCTTAATGTTGAAGCCCGCCCGAAAGGCCCGAGACCCAAACTATAATCCCAAACCATGAAACCAACTTTCAAACGGCAAAGAGTGAGCCCGGGCTCCCTCTACCCGGTCGTAAAGAAAGACCTTAATAGTAAAGTCTAGGTATTTAATAGCGAGTGAAGGCCTAACCCTCAACTCTGCAACCTTCACCCTACCGACACCCCGAAGCCAAAAGCCATGAAAGAGCCAGAACAATCCTCAAGAACCTATTCTAAAGCCCAACTGTCCTGGACTCCAAACCCAACACCCTCAAGACCTCCACGGACATCAAGGCCAGGGCGCAAGAAGCTGGGACTCACCGCTGGGCTCGCCTCGGTCACGGGCCGCGTCGAAGCTGTGTCCTCAAGGACTCAACGTTGCGGCTTCAAGGTCAGAGCACTTCGTCCGTTCCAGCTTGGATTTTGGTTAGGGAGTATAGTGGGTTCGCTAGGTTCCCCAGGAGTCCAGTTCACAACATTTTACCACTCGAGCTATAGCACACTGGCATCATGTTGAAGAGTCTTTGGTTATGAAATGTTTATAGCAGCGCATGAGATCCCATATCAGATAGTCAGAGGTACGAAGACATATGATGCAAATATTAGATGACAACCACTGCTATTTGTGCAGTACGATATACAATGAATAGTTCATCTGCTTCTACATGACAGCTTGCGACATAGAAGGTCTGGCATACACATGGGAGTCCGACAGTTCCATGTCTGTGATGCTCGATCAACATGACAGGCTAAATAGGGGAATCTGCACTTAACCAGGAATTCGCGGTATCTTCGGTGCCAGTGGGATCAGATACTTGTAGGTATCTGAATATCATCATATCGAAGACTAGAAATGCGCTCCATATTAAAGTTGATCGTGCCTGACATTTCGCAAGCATGCCATCGCTAGTTAACATTTACTCACATGAGCTATTCCCGTGTGAACATGGAGACATACGGGGACACTTGTCAATGCGTAGCATAAGTGCAAGATCGGCAAACTCGCGGAATGCACGAAGAGATCTAACTGTCAATCTAACTTCAAGATGACGTGCCGTCACAAGCTGCTGCTTGCATTTTGCGACATTTTCATGCTACGGCATGAATGCTGTAGCTGGATGCGAAAATTGTTGTACTTGGGAACATGTCCCAAGGCTATCAAAAGGGTTTTGCCAGGAGTGTAGCCGCATGTGGTGCAATCCAGGGAGCCTGTATAATATCAACATGTGACAAGAACCATCATTGTACTGGTCTGTATGAGTGGCTCGAGGTCACGACATGAACTGTTGAAGAATCTCTCTTGCTATATGGAGACATGGCCATGTATTCTCCATTTTGCCATTTACATATAAAGCCTGTGGAAAGGCATCTGGTGCAAATGGCGGGGGGTGCTCAATGATGGCTGCTCCACTACGACTGCCAATATTGGCATGGGCCATGTTGTTCTGCTCAGCTGCCACCAGAGATGGGCAATGTATGGGATCACGTCCCACATGAACGAGATTTGTTATGTACTTGATAGAAGTCAAAGGGACTTTTCGATGAATCGGCATGAGCACATGTTGTATTTGCATGACAATCACCTTATGACCAGAAGGAGTGAATAAGGACATCTTAACTACAAACAAATAATTTTTGCATAGGGATCTGCATGTCTTCATATACAACAATCGCAGCAAAACACCATCTCCTTCCAATATGGTTTGAACATTTAGTGACCCTTCCTATGAGGGCACTGGGACTTATGGACTTCGACCGAGTTGATGTCTATTCCAAGCAGACTCACATTGAAGCTATCAGAATCCACGCGGAAACCCTCATATCTTGATTGCCTTTGTAGGTTGTAAGGTTGTCAGCTATGTGGCATGGCTTGTGTGGGTAACTCATATATTTACAATGAGCAGCTCTGCACGCAGGACTCCAAATACGAGAAACTTCTTGGAATGGGAACCCCCCCGAAAGGGAGATCCAGAGCAAAAATGACTTCAAAAGCCTATGAATAGGCCTCCGCCAAACAAGCTAGCATTCGTACGAAACTTTGTATGGATATTGGAGGCAGCAAACACACACACACATATATATATATATACATATACATACATACATACATACATACATATACATATACATATACATATAATACATATACATATACAGGTTCTATACATGGATCCGAAAACATGACTCAGCTGGTCGCCTGCATGTAGATTTAAATCATGGGAACTGTTTGGGAAGCTTGCCTGTGTGACGTCAGGCATCACTTTTCATCTGCTACCAGTACCATGTCCATCGGAAATCTCTATTCAAAAACACATGCTACCAAGCACATGATTGGTGTTGGACTATGCGCTGCGGTGATACAAGAACTGGCGATATACGTGCGCGATTCCTGTTGTTGATATGCAAGGGATTGATTGACTGGTGTTATGCATAATTCAGTTGTCGAGACAAATACGGTTTTACCGATACATTGTAGGAGTCCTATCTTCAAGAATATGCCGTAGAGCAAGAAGAACAATCGCAGGATTGTCGCAGGATGGATTTAGCGGAAGGTATCCAAATGAAGCATATTCCGCACTGAGTGGACGCCCATGTTAGACATCAAACAAACAGGATTACACAGCATTGAGAACCATGACGAATCATGTGTATGCAGACTACGATTTTTCTAGGTTTTATCACGAAAATTCACAGAAAACAGCGGTTTGACACTAGAACATATGGGGGCCCGTAATGTGTGTTACTCTCAAAAGAAAGAAGGCTAAAGGGTACTACTGGGGAACCTAGATAGGATATCGGTTTCGGGTATTCCAGGCTCAGGGCTTGGGACTTGGGGTGCAGGGCCTAGCATCTCGCGAATCTGGACAGGGCAAGGCTCAGCTTCTGTTTCGGGCAGCTCTTTACACAACCCTGCCTCGTGAGGTTAGCTGCAATCTTGAACTCGGAATGGAATCAAGACTCGTTCATATCATGACACTATATGTCAAGCATGCCCATGACTGCGGTACAAGTACCATGTGTATGCAGACTTCTGTTAGGATTGAAACGCTGACACTACACTGAGGTTCGGAGCCAGCGAATGCTCACCCCAGAAACATCCTATGCCAGGGCTAGACAAGCGTGATGCTGAATGGCAGCTCCTCCAGGGCAGACTCGCACTGCTCCCTCACTTTCTCCCTGACGTCATAAGGTAGCAGCCACTCCTTTGCTCAGCATGAAAACATGATTAAGGTCACGACTGAGAGGAGCCTGAAAATTGAGATGACGACTCGAAGGACAAGTTGCAAATATCTTGTCCTAAGTCCTGCGCAACTCTGGAGGGCAACTCCTGAGAGAGTGTCCAAACGGAAGGGGTACAAGTCCCCTCCTCACCCGCAATCCAGCGCAGCAGGATGTCCCAGTCTGTGCAAGAATTTGGAGACGAACAGGCTTTCCAAGATCTTCTTGTTGAGCGATTCGGTTTGAACGATTCGATTTCAAGATTGATGTGTCGCGTTCAGGGTTGAAGAGCTTCAGGCTAGAAGAGCCTCAGGCTCCGAACCCCCCCCACCACCGCCAATCTACGGAGCTCAACATCCGGTACTCTCCGCCTGAATCCCGCATCGCATGATAGGATTCGACAGCCAAAGGGCCGAGCGCCAGAAGCACCAGGCGGCCGTCGAGACCAGGATGGGCAGCACTACCAGGAGGATGCAGATCGTGAACACCGAAGATGCATCCCATAGAGACCTCTCTTCCGGCTTACAGCCTATATACATGATACAGGACTTCCTTCAACTGCACTTGGAGCCTTGAAGTTTCAGACCTTCTGTGGCTTAGGACTGTTTGTGCACTGTTCCTCAACACGACACTTCTACGTAGCGCTTCAGGGAGCGTAGAGGCACAGTCGGAGGTGCAGCTGGGAGGCAAGAGGGCAAACGTTCCCGCCAGCGCCAGCGGGAGGCTCAACAGGAGAACGAAATACCTGGGTCTGTGGCTTCTAGCTATCTCATGAGTCTGGATTCATGATCTTCGTGTCCACACAAAAGCAAACCCTCGAAAGCCGATTGTGTATGGGAAGCCAGGTACACCAAGGAGTACTCGTTGACAGCAGCCGCACACATCAGACCAGAATGGAGGGCCACGCGGCGCACGCAGGGCAGGGCTGTGAAGAACATGGTCAAGATGCTGCAGAGGAGCCAAACCCATCCTAGCTGGATAATCCTGCAGGCGAAGATTGCAGGCTTCGGGACATGTTCTGAAGTGTAGGGTGTGTCTCTCTTGCTTTAATTTGGCCTGTGCTTGTATTACTGATAAAGCACAAAAACACGAACTAGCCAAGAAACCCCTTCGAGTATGGCAGCTCACCCGTGGAGGCCGCGATGAGTGCAAGGGCACTGCCTATTTCAGCTGCGATGCAAAGATACACCATCTTTGCAGGTGGCAAATATCCAATTCCACATAACGGAGTGAGGATGCAGACGATGGAGGTGCTGTCATGCATCAACAACAAGGAGAAGAGCATGATGCCAAAGCTCGCCAATGGCCCAGGGATTGTCAAAGCCTTCTCCAGTACAATGCGGCATCTTCCCAAGCATCGCAGGTCCGCCATCTGGAAAAGCCGGGATGCTATGTACAGGAAGACTAAGCTGCAAATCAAGCCTGAGACCACTCCGCCTTCTTCTAAAATCCTTTCATCCTCCACATTGAGCTTCCAGAAAGTAGTGCTAGACAGCAAACATGAAGAGTGGTCACCGTCACAAACCGTCGAATTAAGAGCATTAGCGCAAATGTTCAGCTGGCTGTAATATCCTGGGTTCAGTGCGTGCCATGCGCGTTGAACTGGCTCGGGTAGGCATGAGTAGGTGCAGCCATTTCCAGCTGCAGCAAGCTCATGCAGATCTCCAGTGATGCAGGACACGCCTGTAGCTGGCAGAACAGCCGGTGGCCCTAAGATGTAGGCTTTGAGTCGCCATTCCTGAACACGCACCACGCGATCAGCTACCGGCTGGACCACCCAGGACGAGGGGTCGATATACGTGAGGTGGATGGAGGCCATGGAGTCCACCTGCCAAAGGGCTGATGAATAAGATCTGAGAGGGTAACGCCATGCCTACTAGCGTCACGAGCATCTAAACACAACAACACCAGCACCCCCTCCCCCTGCGGCACCAGAGTAGAGGTGAAGCCCAAGAGTTTGCCCCGGCTCCTGCGGCATTTCCACATACGCCAGGGCTTAGCGGAACAAAAATCGCTGGATAACATAAGGTGTAACAGTTAGGACCCCTTGGCCGGACTCCCAAGCAAACCTCAAAGGATCTCATTCAGGCTTTCAGCTGTTCTTTCGAGATTGTTCTGGCGACGCACTTCGCATGCAAATGCAATGCTCGCTTCTGCATCATTGCCATCACCATTGCTTCTATACTTATAGTAAGTTTAGGACAGTGGCTTCCTGATTGGAGACGAGTGCTAGAAGGCCCGTGGCTAGCGAGCAGGGTCTAAAGCTTGAGCGGTGTCTTGAATTGGCTGGCACTATCACGCATCTCCAGACTCGTGCCGTGGAACGTGTGAGCTTTCCACGACTGCGCAACACGGCTATTTAGGACGTGCCATTCGGATACATCTTGCATGCAATGACAAAGCATTGACTGCTTCAGACTAAATGAATGCTAAGTCAGTTAAATGCTTATCTCGAAACCTGCTAACCTTGACCGACATGCAAGAATTGACATCCAAGGCTCAGAATTTCCGCAGGCACCAGAAGAAGAGCGCAGCTACCGCATGCCATGAGCTTCAGTATCTGACAGGCTCGGATGGCTCTTTCGACAAACGAGCAGGCTACTCAAGTCGGTCACTTTGACTCCGAAACTGCTTAACACAGCCAGATCGACAACCTGCCTGGTAGGCAGATATGCCCCAAACTGCTCGAGTCCTGCGCCGGTCTTTGAAACCGTGCGTGATTTATGAATTCTCGAAGTTTCGGATGTGGTTCACGGGCTCGGGGTTGAAATGGGGCTCTGCTCATATGGGTTGTCGTGGAAGAGATCCTCATCTTGAAAGCAGCAGTGTTTGAGTCCCCCACCACCCATAGTGTTGCCAAAACATGAAGGAGCCGCGACATAGCATGATTGTTATTGCCACTCGTTGCTACTGCTTGTAGGATGCTTTAAACTTTTGCAAATGCAGCCTAGGAGCAGGTGAGGCCACTGGCCAGGCATGGCGGCTAAAAGAAGTGGCGCGATCGTGGCACCTCCATAAACAAAAATGAAGACAGCTGACGGCATTGCTCTCTCGATTGGGTGTCGGGGTGAAAGAGTTCGCCTTAGCCTTGGGTCGCAATCGCACGCGGAGCTATGGTGTGCCTATTGAGGTGCCGATCGTCAGGATGATCCCGATCTGCGCATCAATCTCAGATGAGGCCACCATTTGCCCAGCGATCAAGATCGCTTGCGCCGGTGACTGCATCAATACAGTCCCTACCTTGGTTTTGAACGGTGCCCACCGCCACTATTGTTGTCCTCTATAATAGGTCTGAACCTATGACCTATGGTAATGTAGGCATCTGTAGTCTAACCTTGAGCCCTGCTGCACGCACTTCTGTGCCTTGCACGTAAATGTGACTCTATACATATGTTGACTATCTCTCTTTCTTTCGCCAGGGCTAGGGTGTAGGGGTTTGACCCCCTACACCGTGCGCTTGTGCTCTCTCTCTCTCTCTCTCTCTCTCTCTACCGGGCGTGGGGTTCAGGCCAGCGTTCAGGGCCATCCCCCCGTGCGGTCCACGCACACCCGCATTTCGCGGATGGTTTGCATCCCCCCAGAGTTTCGCTCTGAGAGGCTCGGCTTTACAGGCCTCGTCTTTCGGCCCAAACTTCAGCTGGGTTTGTGGCCCGGAGGCGGTGGAAAGGGCCGGTTCCCCCCCGGAGTGTAAACCAAAAACTGCTTTCACATGTTAGAACACTCACTGCACTCTGAGGGCCTGGCCGAGGGTTCGTACATATGCCAAAAGGAAACCGCAGTATAGCATTCCAGGTATTGAGCTCAACAACACTGTATATTGGACACATGTCCCCCCTCTGACTGTATGCTGTATGCTACTGTGGCATGCATGGGCTCTCTAGATAGGCAATCAACAGTAAGATGCAGAGTAGAGTCGCATGCCAATACTCCCCCGATCTAGTAGGGCCCATGTTTGCCGTAAAAAGCCGCCTGTAGGCGTCGGCGTCTATGGCTCCCCCCATCGTCGTCATCATTGGGACGTGGGCTTCTGGAGCGGCTTCTCTCACTGTGAAGTTGCCCAGGTCCCCCTTCATGCCATGGTGCCGGCCATGGAAGAGTAGTACCCTGGCTTTCACTTTGTGTTGGGAGCGTGTTCATCTCCCCCACGGCGTTGACGGCTTGTTGGAGGCTAGCGGTCATCATCTCCTCCATTTGGGCAGCTGTGAGTGCTGCTCCCCCTTGCATGTTTGGGGGTTCTTCTCCCCCTGCGGCGTTGGTGGGCTGGTCCGTGGCCTCCGTGGCGCCGTCGCGAAGCTGCGCGGTGGAGCCGTGGTCAGTCTCGGTGTCCCCGTGGTAGGCCGCCGTCTCCTCCTCGGCGGTCTCGTGAGCCGGCGCTGTGGCCGGATCTTCCCCCATATGGTCACCATGGGTCTCCCCCGTTTGGGTACTCTCGTGCACCGCGTGTGCTCCCCCGAAAAGAGCTTGTTGCCACGCCTCGATAGCATGTAGTAGTTCGATCACGGGCATGAGCACGGTGTCCGTCACATAGGGCACGATGTCTTTGAGTCTTCGGGCGGCTTTCAAGAGGCGCTCAGTGGCGCTGGCGCGCCGGTCCGTGCGCGCTGGCCATTCCTCGATCCCCTCCCCGCCGAGCTTGAGCACATCAGCTGGGTGGGCTGTGGTGGGATCTTCCTCCACATGGTATGCTTCCCCCTTCTTGGTTGACAGCAGCGCAGCTGGCGACAGTAGGTCGTGGAGAGCGTCCCACCATGCCAGCGTGTTCCATGTGCGGTCCCCTCCGAGCGCCAGGAGGATCACTCCATCGACCATCTTGTATGCCTCTTTCAGCTTGGCCATGGCTTTGCTGAGGCTGGCCTCGGTCACGTCCCCCGGCATGGGTTCTTGGAGTTCCGAAAGGCCTGCCTCTATCATGGCCCTGAGCTGGCTGAGGTCCGTGGCGAACTCTTCTGGAGTAAATCCCTCGCCCCTTCTCACCCTCATTGAGGATACGAAGCGGTAGGCCTCGCTCATCCCCGTTGGCTCTGTCATGACTGTTCTCCCCCACGTTCTGGCTTCCGGGTGGGTGTCGGCTTGCGAGAGCATGCGTAGAGCTATGGCACATATATTGGAGATGATCTCCCCGTCTCTGTTGGCGAGGCCGTCCGCGATCTCGTGTATCATCTGCAGCTGGGCGAGGGTGGCGGTAATAGCTCCCCGTTGTGCGGCGAGTAAAGCTTGCGCACTTGGAGGCTCCCCCGCTGTGGCTGCGGCACTAGAGCCCGTGGCTGTTGACGGCACGCGGCGTCTGGCTTGTTCCCTCAAGGGGGTGCGCCTTCGCCTGCGTATAAGTCCACAGTTTTCTTCGTCTGTGGTTGTGCCATTCCATTGGCTTTCCCCCTCCGGTCTCGGCGATCTTGCCATTGGCGGTGTCGACGTGGTACTGGTAGAAGTCGAGGTGTGGGCGTAGATCCCCCCTTGCATGAGCTCTGTGCGGTCGCTGTCTGCGTGTGGTGCCGGGCTTGGGCTCGGTTTTGGGCCGATGTGCCTCCCGTCGCGGATCTGGTGGAACCACGGGGTGGGCGTTGGCTGAGCTTGCCTTTGGGCTTGGGAAGCTTGCTGTGCTTCCGGGCTGGAGCGGCGCAGCGTTCGGCCGTCGGACAGTGGGTCTCGTTGCTGCTGCGGCTGTGCTGGTTGTTCGGTTTGTGGTTGCTCTGCTTCCGGCGGGGCGTCGGTATGGGACGTTTCGTCCTCTTGTGGAGCTTGATGCCAGTAGTCCCGGTTGTGGTGGGTGTCGTCTGTCCCCCCTTGCCATTCTTGTTGTTGTGTCGTCGCTGGTGGGTTCTCCTCTGGCCTCGGAGTGTTCTCCGGCTGCGGCGGTGTGCTGCTCTGTGCGTGGTCAGCTGTGGGGCTGTGGTTGGTGTCCCCCTCCTGTAGGAAGCGGTCTGGTGTGGTGGTAGTGAATTGCATGTGCCATCCGTTGGTTCCCCTGGTCATAAGGAACTGGTCTCCCACCTGCAATGCTAGGCTGTAGGGCTCTTGCTGTGTTGCTGTGGGTGTCTGGGTGACTGTGGCGAGCCACCTTCTTTCGGAGAGGGGCTCCTGCAGTAGCCACGTCTCTCCGCTTATCGGCGGATAGGCAGCCATGGGCATCCCCCCCGCGGGTGGGGGGATTGCTCCTTCGCCCGGGGTGGTTGGTAGGTCGTGGCTGTATGCTATTCTCGTTAGCCACTTCCCTGCCCGCAGGGCTGTGTGAGTGATGTCGGTGGCTCTGGAATGTGGAAGTGGGGGTGGGACCGTGTTCTGTCCCCCCAGGGTTGGTGGTCGTGGCGGTGGTGGTGGTTCCTGTTGTGCCTCCGTGGGACCATGCTGTGGCTTGGGCTGCCGCTGCGGGTAGTAGCTGGTGCCCTGGGACGGTTGTTCGGAGGTGGCGTCCGGGTGCCAGTGGGGTGTGTAGGTGGCTGCTTTGGTGTTTTGGGGTAGGTCCGTTGTGTCGTCGGCCGGTGTGTGTTGCTGTGCGTGTGGTGCTTCCGGTTGGAGGTGAGCGGGGAGCGGCTGTCCCGGGTTGAGTAGACGGAAGTTGGCTATTCTCTCCTCCCGCGTGGGCTGTGGCGGCTGCCAGGTGGTTGGTGGGTCGTTGTCGGGACTGTTGTCCCCTGTGTGGCGGGGTGTGGTGTTGCTTGCTGCCGTGGGGGTGGTGTGGTTCTGGTACAGGAGGTGTTGGTCCCATTTGGTGTGGTGGAGGCCGTGGGCTTTGAGCCAGCGCTTCATGCGGAACTTTTCTGCTTTGTTGCGGGCGCGTGTGGCTCCCCCGCCTTCATGCTTTCTGTGGTTGTGTTGTGGGCGGTGGCTGCTGCGGCGTCGGGGGGTGGTGGTAGTGTCTGCTGGTGCGTCCTCCGCCGCGCCGTCGTTCGTTGCTGTGGCGTCTGGGAAGCCCGGCAGGAGCTCACGGTGGATGTAGCTCGTGGGTATTTCCCCCGTTGTGATCCAGTGGTAGTGTTCGCGCATGGTCATGCCAGGGATGGCTTTGGTCCCACCGGGTGGTAGGTTGCTGCCCGTGGCAGCTTGGAAAGGGTGCTCTCGGAAGACCTTGCGTGGTGTATCCCCCGTTGGTGTTTGTCCCTGTGTCGGGGCCTCTGCTGTGGTTGGTGTGGTTTGGTGGTGGTGCTGTTGCTCTGCGCCAACTTCGGTGGTGGTGTCGGGCTGGGGTGCTGTGGCTGTTGTCGGCTCCGCGTGTGCCGTTGGCATGTGTGGCTGTGGCTCCGGTGCTTGTTGCGTGGTGTGTGTGGGTTCCGCAGCTTCTGCCCATGGGTCTGTATCCGGGTTGTAGGGCGTGGCGAAGGCGACGCCATGTGGGCCGTGTGGTCGGAGGGGGGATCCCGTCGGCAGTTGTTCTGCGCTGGGTTGGTCGGCCGGTGGTTCGATGATCTGGCCGTTGGGGTCGCGAAGGTTCCCCCAGGCGTCGTAGGAGGCAAAGCCGTGGTCTTGTGCGAGCTGGGCTGCTGTGTATGGTGGTGGTGGGGTTCCCCCCTGCTGGGAGGCTTGTTGTTGCTGGTAGAGTTGTGATAGTCCTTCGGCTACTTGCTGAACCGGGTTTGGTGGTGGCTGGGTTGTGAGTCTGGCTCCTATGTGTGAGCTCAGGCCTTGTGGTTGTGGGTGTTGGTGGGGGTGGGAGGCTGTTGCCCCCGTTGGTGGTTGTTGTTCTTGTGGTGGCTGGTGTTCGTAAGGCTGTGGCCATGGGTCTGTTGCCGGGTTGTATTGTGAGATTGGCGCTGTGGGTGCTTGCTGCCAGTGGTATTGTTGGGGAGCCGCTTGCTGCGGCATCGCCGTGGCTTGTGGCTGGTGCCCGGAAGCTTGTTGGTGTTGTGGTGTCTGCCAGTTGTGCGAGGAGCTTGCCGCGGCACTGTTCTGCGAGTGCGTCGGCGGCTGCTGCTGTTGCGGCTGCTGAGTGGGCATGGCACCTGCCCATGTGTGGTGTACCGGCTGCTGTGGCGTGGTGGGTAGGTGGCCGGCTGCCCCCCCGGTGCGACTGTCTTGTTGTGTGGCTGTGGCTGGTAAGGTTCCCCCTTGCTGTCGCGATTTGTTCTGCACGTCTCGGTGGCAGAGGGCCTGCTCCTTGAGGTTCGCCCATTCGAGTCATTCGTGGACCCGCGTTGTTTCCCCCCTCATTGGGGATGGTCGGCCGGCCCTGGGTAGGACTGACCAAGAAG